ATCTATAACTAGGAAGGGCGGGCGGCAAGGACGCAGGGGCGTTGGACGCCGAAGTTGGCGCATTTTGGGCGGCGGACTGCCAACACCTGGAAGGGCTGTCCAGTGAAAACTGCGAAGGACGGGCCGCAGAAGCAAGGACGCGAGGGTACCCAAGGACATCCGCGCGTCCTTCATATGAGTCTTAACCGTAGTCATCACCCCCCTCTTGGCCGCCCCCGAGCCATGGCTCGCTAAAGGCCTAACGACTTCTGCCGTCCCTCGAGGCCTGCTGGAGCGGCCGCGCATTGCTCCAGCTTTCCCTGGAGACCTCTGGGTGTACCTGGCCTTACCCGGATTCATACATCAGTAAATCTGGATTCACCCGGACTTGCCTCGATTTTTGCGGGCCCGGCGAAAGGGGGGGATAGCAAAGGGGGGGGTTGAGAATCAGCTCACGTAGCTGACTTTCCCGGCGCCTCCCGGCGCCGGAGGCGGCTATCTATGTATCGAGGAGTGGGCGCCTCGGTGGGCCGAAACCAGCTGCATGCAGCAGATTTCGTACCCCCCCCTCCCAATCCCCCCCTTTCGCCCGGCCCGAGATTTATCTGGCTCGATCCCCACAAACCCTGAAGGAATGACCCCCCCGGTTGTCGGGAGCGGCCAAGCAAGGGGTGTCCGAGAGGGGGTGGTGCAAATCATGACCGGCGGCATGTGCGCAGCACAGCGGGGGGGCCTGGGACGCACTAAAATAAGAAGAGGCGCCACGAAATCTGAGGAACAATCATGGCCCGCGCCATGAAATCCCCCCCCCCCGGCCATCACCCCCCTCTTTTCCGCTCCCGAGGTTGCGCTGGGGCCGCGGCGGCCCGGGGCGGACCTCTGGGCCGCCATGGCCGCCGCCCGGGGGGGGGCCGCGGGGCAGGGCCCGCGGGGCCGCGCGGGGGCGCCGCCCCGCGCAGCGAGCGCGGCCCCTCCCCGCGGAGCCGAGCGGCCGCGCGCGGGGCGTCCTCGGGGGATCGCCGCGGGGGCCGGCCAGGCAGGGGTCGGACTCGGACCCGGGCACGACGACGACGACGAATGACGAGGAACGACGATGAACGACGGCGACGACGACGAGGAGCAACCACCATGGAAGACGACGAGGACGACGACGATGAACGACGACGACGACGACGAACACGATGAACGACGACGACGACGATGAACGACGACGACGACGACGAGGACGACGACGACGATTACAGTAGGAGCTCGACCGCACGAAGCCCTTCACGCAGAGAGGACAGCTTTCACGGGGCACGCGGGCTTCTTGCGCACTGGCGCGCTTGCCAGGGCAACAGCCTTCAGGGAGTGGCGCGCACTTGGAGGAGGAGGATGAGGACGAGGAGGAGGAGGAGGAGGAGGAGGAGGAGGAGGAGGAGGAGAAAGATGAGAAGAAGGGGAGGCGGGGGGGAGGAGTGGCAGGCAAGAGGAGGAGGAGGAGGAGGAGGAGGAGGAGGAGGAGGAGGAGGAGGGGGAGGAGGAGCCCCTGGCCGCCAAAAAACTCGACGCGCGGGAGGGTGCCGAGCCGAAGGCGCCGAAAGATCCCGGGCGGAGTCCTGCTCGCCCCGCCGCGCGCCGGTGCCGCGCGGCGCTCCCGCGAGCGAGCGCGCGGCACAGGCCCCGTGGGGGAAAAAACACACACGTGGGAAAACCACACACACACACACACACGTGGGAAAACACACACACACACACACACGCACGCACGCACGCACGCACGCACGCACGCACGCACGCACGCACGCACACACACACACACACACACACACACACACACACACACACACACGCACGCACACACACACACAGTGTGTGTGTGTGTGCTTGTGTGTTTGTTGTATGTTGTTTTGTCCTGCAGTGTGTGTTGTTTACCCACAGTGCGTGTTTTTTTCCCACGTGTGTTTGTTTCCCACAGTGTGTATGTGTGTGTGTGTGTGCGTGTGTGTTTTCCCCACAGAGGCCGAAAATAGGGAAAACCCTCCAGTCGTGATTTTCTCATGCCTCGAGGGGTCTGGGGTCTGGGATTCGCATGCCTCGAGGGGACAAGTTTTTGCATCCAGGGGACTAGCTTTTCATCCTGAATCGTTTTTGTTGACGATCCCGAGGCCCGGTAAGGGCCCTAGAGTCCCGCGCCCGCTCCCGCGAGTGTGCTGCAGTCCGATTCAAGTTCTCCACGCGCGACCGTCCTGGAGGCAGAGCCGGCGGGGGCAGCGACTCAAGAACGCAATCCCCGACCTGGCCATCGCTCGGACGTCCAGTCCCTGTGCGTGGCTTCTTCGCCGAAGGATCAAGGCTGCTCCTCGAGGGTCCTCGCCGAGGGAACAATTCACGCGTCCGAGCGATGCCAAGCAACAAAAAAACGCCCCCCCCCCCCCCAGATCTGGCAGCGGGGCGTTCCTCCGGAATGCCGTCTGTCTTCGAACGCATCCCGGGTGGGGAGGTGACTGATAGGCTGACGTCGGGCCTGTCCTCCTACAGGGGGTCTTGGACGAAAAATAAAAAGTACCCCAAACAATGCTCCAGAATTACTCGAAAAAAATCAAAAATCGTCCCCAGACTATATATTTTTTGCAAACTAGTTTTGAATATTCCTCCTGTAGGGGGACAGGCCCGACGTAATGGTAGGCTGGCGACGCCCGGGGGCTCGGGAGCCGCCTCGAGGTCCGCTGTGTCCCCCCCCCCCCTTCTCTGGCAGCAAGGGTCTCCTGTGGTAGACGAGCGCGTTCCACTACTCGCAAAGTAGCTACTCGCAAATCGCCTGGATCCGCCGCGGGGGATCTTCGATAAATGGCATCGAAGCAGGCATGTGTTTTTCGGGCGCTTGCGAGTAGGCACCTTGCGAGTAATGGAACGCGCCTGGTGATCTGGAGCGCCATCTGCCTCGGAGCGCTTCCCGAATCGGGAAGTGCTTGACAGGCTGACGGCCTCCCAGGGATAGGTCGGGCCTGTCCCCCTACAGGGAGGGATTTTGGACGAATAAGTTTAAAACATACCCCCAGTACGCCCCAAAATAGCCAAACATGCTAGACAAAGTCGCCCCCAGACTATCTTTTGACTATTTTTGAATACTCCTCCTGCAGAGGGGCAGGCCCGCTTTGATCCCAGGGCTGCTCAGCGGCGGGTGCTCTGGCGGGGTCCGACGTCTGCCGCAGGCGCCGACCGCGGAGCCGCACACGGGCAGGGGTCGCCGCTGGAGCGGCAGGCGCGGGCGCTGTGCCCTCGGGCGTCTCGACGAGGTCTGCCTCGTCCCCGATGCCATCGGCCCTCTGCATATTCTACCAGATTTTCTGGGGAATCGACGATTAATTGTGTCTGCGTGTCTTTTCCCTCCTGACTGCGCCTGTTCGCCAGCGTCTGGCACCGCGGCCATGGCCGCGGCCAGCTGCTCACGCAGCTCGTGCCACGGAGGCTCTGGTGACACGGGCATCGGCACCCGCTGGCTGAGGATCGCCCGTCCCCGGCAACGGTCCAGGACCACGGACCCCGGAACCGTCGCGCGAGCGCTGCTCGGTCGCGGCGTCGTCATAGCAGGGCGAAGTGCTGACTTCACTGACAACTCTCCGGACGCCAGCGCCATCGGAGGAGTCGGACTCGATTACGCCGGACCTGGTTGTCTGAGGATGGTGGCGGGGCCCTCGGCGGGGCACTGCTGCCAGACCACTCTGGCCATCGCTCGGACGTCCATTCCCTGTGTTTTTTTCCGGTTTCGTGCGTCGTTGTTTCGCCAAATGATCAAGGATGCTCCTCGATAGCCCTCGCCGAAGGAAAAATGCACAAGTCCGAGCGATGCCTAGCACTCCTCGTGTGCCTGCGCGTGGGTCGCGGTCGCGCGCGAGCGGCCCCTGCGGCCGCCGCCATCCGATCACGAAGCGCCTCTTTGCGCTGGGGCCTGCTTGCTGAGATTCTGCGGAGCCGCTGACGCAGTCCTCGCCATCGCTCGAACGTCCATTCCCTGTTCTTTTCGGTTTCGTGCGTGGTTTTCCGCCAAATGATCAAAGATGCTCCTCGACAGCGCTCGCCGATGGAAAATGCACACGTCCGAGCGATGCCAAGAGTCTCAGGGAACCGTCTCGATGATTCTGTGTTCGATTCCTTGTGAAGCATGGCGGGAAGCATGGGGACTAGGCCCGGATTGTCCCTTCTCCAGGATGTTGCTTCTTGGAAAACCTGATCGTTTCGCTTTTCGTTTTGGTGCAACCACCCACGAGACAGGCGGCACAGTCTCGTGATCTCGTGGTGAACGCTTCGGGTGATAACCAGCCTTTTGCCGAGTGAGTCTATTTATAGTGATCCCTTGATTGATTCGCAAACGTTCTAATTTGTCATCTGGATCGTCCAGTCGTTGGTCCCAAATTAGGCCTCGGGGGGATTCGCGATCACACTCAGGTATCACCTACTGGCTGACAGAAACGGGTCGCGCATCCTGGTTTACCTCGAGTGCCGCAATACAGCTGTGGCGTGCAATATGTCAGTCCGTCGCTGTCGGCGACGCCAACCATGCATTTAGAAGGGACGCAAGCGGCAAACATGGGCGGGGGGAGTATTCGTCCTCGTCATTTTTCTCGTCGTTGTCCCTGCCCGAGGTCCTGGCCTCGGGCACGGAAAACGATGAGAATGTGGACGAGGGAACAGCATGCGGATTACGACGATTAGCAAGGTGGTAATGGCGATGGACGTGGAGATGCGGACGGAGATGAAGATGGAGACAAAAAATAAGGACGACGACGAACCTCATGAGTCCAGTGCTGACGGTGGTGGTGATGAGGACATGGGTAGGGCAACAACGTGCGAAGATTGCCAGCGGACCGACGTGATGGCGATGCACCCCGAGGAGGCCGCCGCAGCCACGGCTGCGGGAATCCTGCCCCCGGGGCTCTCCGCGGCGGGCGCGGGCACGCTCCCGCCCCCCCCCCCCGCGGGGGGCGGCGCAGGCGCGTGCGTCCACGACCACCTGTCGAGCCGCGGGCGCGGGGGGCGGCTCAGTGGAAGGACTTGAGCTTGTCCGTCTCCACGGGCGCCTGGCGGAGGCGGAGCGCGGGGCGGCGCTGTTGCGGCGGCGCTGTTGCGGCGAAGGAGGAGGAGGAGGAGGAGGGGGAGGAGGAGGAGGAGGAGGAGGAGGAGGAGGAGGAGGAGGAGGAGGAGGAGGAGGAGGAGGAGGAGGAGTGAATGTACTCAAAGGAGGAGGAGGAGGAGGAGGAGGAGGAGGAGGAGGAGGAGGAGGAGGAAGAGGAGGAGGAGGAGGAGGAGGAGGAGCAGGAGGGGGGGGTGGGGGGAGAAGGAAGAGTGTGGTGATGGAGGAGGAGGAGGCGGGTGGAGGAGCAGGAGGAGTCTGTGGATAGGGGGTGGAGGTGTTGGAGGAGGTGGCAGGCAGGAGGAGGAAGGAGTAGGAAGGAGGAGGAGAGGAGGAGGAGAAGGAGGGGAGGTGGCTGGAGCAGGATGCGGATGCGGATGCGGAGGAGGAGGAGGAGGAGGAGCAGGAGGAGGAGGAGGAGGGGGGGGGAGAGGGGAGAAGGTAGAGGAAGAGGAGGAGGAGGAGGAGGAGGAGGAGGAGGGGGAGGTGGAGGATGAGGAGGAGGCGGAGGAGGAGGAGGAAGGGGGAACGGCGGAGGAGGAGGAGAAGAAGGAGGAGGGGGCGGAGGAGGAGCAAGAGGAGGAGCAGGACGAGGAGGATAACGAGGATGATGATGGTGATGGTGGTGATGATGATGATGACGATGCTGATGCGGATGATGATGATGATGATGGTGGTGATGTAATAATGATGATGATGTTGCTGCGGATGGTGATGGTGAGGATGAAGCTGACGCTTAAGATGGCGATGAAGATGGCGATGATGATGATGATGAGGAGGAGGATGATGTTGATGATGATGGCGATGATGGTGGTGGTGATGGTGATGATGACGATGATGAGGATGATGATAATGACGATGCTGGTGATGATGATGATGATGATGATGACGCTGACAATGATGGTGCTGATGCTGATGATGATGATGATGGGGAGGAGGAGAAAGAGGATGAGGATGAGGAGGCGGAGTAGGATGAGGAAGAGGAGGAGGAGGAGGAGGAGGAGGAGGAGGAGGAGGAGGACGATGAGAGGAGAGGGAGGGGGGAGGGGGAGGGGGAGGAGAAGGATGAGGAGGAGGAGGAAGCAGGGAGGAGGAGGAGAGGAGGAGGGTGATGAGGGGGGCGGAGGAGGGAGGAGAGGAGGAAGAAAAGGCGGACTGAGGAGGAAAGAAACGAGGAGGAGGAGAGGCGGCAGGTGGACATTCAACAGGAATGAGGATGAGTGAGGACACGAACGAGAAGAGGAGGAGGAGGAGGGAGTGGAGGAGGAGGAGGAGGAGGAGGAAGAGGAGGAGGAGAGGAGACGAGGAGGGCGAGGAGGACGATTACCGTCTGAGGAGGGGGATGAGGAGGAGGAGGAGGGGGGGAAGGCGCAGGAGGAGGAGGAGGAGAGAACGATGAGAACGACGAGGAGGGACAACAAAAAGGAGGAGGAGGAGGAGAAGGGAGGAGGGGGAGGAGGAGGCGGAGGAGGAGAGGGGGGGATGGGGATGAGGAGAGGAGAAGGAGGTGGGAAGGGGGAGGAGGTAGGAGGGGGGGAAGGAGGATTGTACGGAGGTTAGGATGAGAGAGGAAGGGAGGAGGAGGAAGGAGGAGGAGGAGGAGGAAGAGGTGGAGGAGGAGGAGGGGGTGGAAAGGGGGACGGAGGAGGTGGAGGAGGAGGAAGAGGAGGAGGAGGAGGAGGACGAGGAGGAGGGGGAGGGAGGGAGGGAGGGAGGGAGGGAGGGAGGGAGTTGGATTGGATGGGATTGGATCTATCGCGAAGCGAATCACACTTGACGCTGACCTTCTCCGAGCCCGCGGCGAAAAGGAAGGACTCGACGACGAACACTGGATATGCCAGCGCTGAGAGAAACAGATCGAAGGGCATGACCATAAGGCCTGACGGCTGAAGCTTACGGAACACGTGGATGCCGTAAATGAGTACCTCCAACAAGCCACATCCCAGAATAAACCAGATACGGCAACGTTGTTCACTCCCTCAGCCCATGCTGATACTGAAAAACTCCGCCCGCCTCGCCACACAAAGCGTATGACCAACATCGCGAGTCGAGGTGACAAAGAGCCACACAGCTGAGGAGGAGGAGGAGGAGGCGGAGGAGGAAGAGGATGAGGAGGAGGAGGAAGAGGAGCAGGAGGAGGAGGAAGATGAGGAGAAACCATGAGGAGGAGAAAGGGGAGGAAGAGGATGTGGAGAAGGAAGAGGAGGAGGAGAAGGAGGAGAAGGAGGAGGAGGAGAAGGAGGAGGAGCGGGAGGAAGAAGAGGCGGAGGAGGAGGAGGAGGAGGAGGAGGAGGAGGAGGAGGAGGAGGAGCAGAGAAGGAGGAGGATGAGGCGGAGAGGAGGAGGAGAAAAAAGGATAGAGGAGGAGGAGCAGTGTGGTGGAGGAGGAGTGAGGAGGATAGGAGAGGGAGCGGGGGAGGGAGGTGGAGGAGGTGGGGGGGGTGGGAGGAGGAGGAGGAGAAGGGAGGAACGAGGACGACGAGGAGGCGGAGGCGGAGGCGGAGGAGGAGGAGGAGGAGGAGGAGGAGGAGGAGGAGGAGGAGGAGCAGGAAGTAGGCAAGGGGAACGGGAATGATGGGGCAGATGAAGAGCAGAGGGGAGGCGGCTTGTTCGGCCGCGCGGCCCGCCACAGCGCGCCCAGCTGCTCGACGCAGCCTCGCCTGTCAACTTTTTATAGCGACTGCTTGAACGTGGTCTCTGCTTGTGCTGGGGACAAGAGTTCGCAGCTGAGCTATCGCCGCCCGTTCGCGGGGCTGATGATGATGTATCGTCTTGGGGTGTCGTCGGTCCAGTCGGTCGTCAAAGTCGATGCCCACAAAGACCCGCACGAAGCGGGCATATCCTCCCTGGAGCGCTGGAGGCGCCTCGGGAATGACCTGGCGGATCGTGCCGCCAAGCAGGGTGCTGGACTCCACCCCCGTCCGTCGGAGGCCGAGGAGAGCCGGCTGCAATGGCAAATTAAGATAGCCAAGGCGGTCTGCAAGCTCGCAGCGAAGCTGCTGCCAGCGTGGCCGCCGTTGGATTTGACCGACTGCTACTGGGAGCGCCCTCCCGTCGAACCTGCTCCTCCCTCGCGGCCCCATGCTTGGACGTGGGAGAAGCGCGAGGGGTATTTCGGATTTGCTTTCTGGCGTTGCCAGCACTGTTTGATCGTGCGCAAAGGACGCTCGATACCGCCGCCAGGTTCTTGCTCGAATGAATCGAAGCTGGACGGCCCATCCCTGAGAGCGCTCGGGCACCATGCCATATCGCTGCTCGTTTCTGATGGCTCCTTCCTGACTGTCTGTCTTAGCTCAGCGATGTCAGCCACCGACGCGTAAGAAGACCGAGACTTTCAATGCTATTTGTAAGGGTCGGCATCCGTCGAAATCCGAGCTTCGTGTGGAGCCCGCGCCGTGGCGTTAGTTTTTTCCCGCTGTTTCCTCGGCACTGCGGGACTGGCAGCCGTCTCGGCGTGAGTCCCCCCGCAGTTGCCGTGACGTCAGCGGTGGGGCAGGGCTGGTGGCGAAAGTGGCAGGAGGCGCCACCCAGCCCTGCCCCCTCCTCTGGGGGGAGGCGCCGTCCCCCCAGAGAGTGTGGCTTGGCAGTAGTGGATGTCAAAAAAAAATCCTCCTCCTCCTCCAACTCGTCCTCCTCCTCCTCGTCTTCCTCCTCCTCCTTCTTCTCCTCCTCATCCTCGCCTTCTTCCTTCCTTCATTCCCCCGCCACTCCTGCCCTTCTCCTCCCTCTTTGCTGCTCCGATCGCAGGTCCACCTCCGTATCTTTCCTCCTGTCTACCTCCTTTCCTGCTCCCCCCGTCCTCCTCTGATCGCTGACTTCCTCCCGTCTGGGAGGGGGTGGAAGAGGAGCAAGGCTTGGCAGGACACAGGCGGGTCGCGCCCCCCGAACCAGTTACTGAAGAGCTCTGTAGCTGCTCTGACTCTCGAGATCAACTCAACGGCATCCTCTGCGCCCTGGGCCCTGAGAGGCCAGCCGAAAGGTCCAGGTGGGGAAACCAAAAGGTACCAATAGCGCTACTCTCCGGTTCTCGCCCAGGTGCGTTCTGACCAGAATTTGGAGACGAACCCAGCGGCGGCGACAAGGGCCGCCCAGGAGGACCAACCAAAAGGACAACGAGGCAAGGATAGAGGTACGGGTACCCTCTCCCCCTCCGAATCTCGTTCCAGAGACTCTCGCATCTGAGCCCCCCTCCACCGGTGTCCTCCCTGCCTGCCGCTGCGCTTCCATAGGGGAACAAAAAGTGGCATAAACATAAAAACGGAGGTCCGCGCGGATTTGTCGGATCGGCGCTGGGGCCCCCCGGCGGCGCCTCCGGCGCCGCCTCTGGCGCGCTCCGCGCGCCATGGAGGGGGGTCCAGCGCCGATCCGAGAAATCCGCGCGGACCTCCGAATTGTTATGTTTATGCCACTTGTTGTTCCCCTATTCCATGGGGCCCCGCGGCCCCCGCCTCGTCCTCGTGCAGGTGCGCCAGCGGGTTCTCGGCCCTGCCCCGCCGCTGGCGCCCGCTTGGGGGCAGGGGGGCTCCCGGGCCTCGGGAGACGACGGCAGGGGGATACAGTCGACCCGTTTAGTGAAGGCTGCGCGAGAAGGATGCAAGGGGTTGGATCGGGCGTGTCCCGCTACAGGCGGAATTCGGACGAAAAAGTGAAACAATATCAAGCATCATTGTTTACTATGTTTGAGCATTCCTCCTGTACAGGGACAGGCCCGACTTAATGCAAGGGCCTTGGACACCCACTTCGAAACTTTGCGAGCAGGGCGCGGCCAACGGAAGTGGCCAAGGATGAGGGGAAGGGGCAAGGATGCAAGGGTACCCTAGGTAAGGCTGCCCATCCTTATTGTGCGGGTTGACCGTAGTTCGGTGGCAACTCATGGGATCCTCTCATGCCGTCTTGTCGGCCCTGGGGAATCGACGCTCATCGACGCTAAGTCGACGCTCATCGACGCCAAATCGACGTCCATCGACGCTGAGTCGACGCCCATCGACGCCGAATCGGCGCTCACCGATTACCACACGCCAGGCGACGCCGCTGTGCTCTAAGCGAGCAACGGCGATGGGATGCAGGGCTCCCACGTCATGCGCTGCCGACGGGCGGGGGACGAGCGCAGGAGGCCGCGGGGGCGGCGCGAGAGGGGGAGGGGCGGCCGGGGGCGAGGGGGGAAACCGGGGGAAGGGAACACGACGAAGCCAGGATCGGGGACGGACAGCACCCCCTTCAGCAAAACGTGGTCTAATGAAAACGGCCTCGGGCCCACACCTGGCGGGCGCCAGCCTGGAAAACGACGGCCGCGGGGCCCTCTCGACAACCGAAAACGGGCAATTCACTAATCGACGTGTCGGGGTGGGGGTTCCATCCACCCCCGACAGGGCGAAGATAACGTCGGCTGAGGATCTGTCGAGAATCTCTGAGATCCGGGGGTTCTGGAAGATGTCTCGGGCGCCGCGGCCTTCTCGGAGCAGGGCGTTCCGGAAAGCTCCGAGAGCGCTCAAGGACGCTCTGGGAGGGATTCACCCTCGTCCTCGCCACGCCAGGAGTCAGGACTGGGCAAGGCTCGGATGCGTCCTGGGCTAAGTCGGCCTGCACTTTCTGGGCTCGGCCAGGCTGCGCGGTCAGGATGAGGCTGGACTGCGACATCTCTGAGCCAGCTCGAGAAACCCTGTGCTTCGAAAACTCGTGCCACTGTAGATTTTGGATCGCGACGTCGTCGCCGTCTTCGTCGTCGTCGTCGTCGTCGTCGCCAGTCGTCGTCAGTCGTCGTCAGTTGTCATCGTCAGTCGTCGTCGTCGTCGAGCGCCTGTGCAAGGGTGGGGGCACGAATGCTTTTTTCGTTCTACAGGCGCCGCCGGTAAGGCCGCGGGATGCGGCCGAGGCGGCGCTTTGAGGCAGCGGAGCAGGGGGAGGAGGCGCGAGAGAGACGAGGATGGGCGGAGAGCCCAGGGGGGGAGTGAGAGGGGGCGGGCCTTCTCAGAAGGCTCGGAAGGCCTCGGGCCTTCTGAGAAATTGTGTAAGCCTTGCCTGAAGACGCCGAAAAAAACTTCTCGGACTGCCAGAAGGCTTCTGAGAAGCCCCGCCGCAGTCCAAGACGGCCTCCTCCTTCTCAATTGCCCCTCTCCCTCGCCGCCGAGAAGAGAGGATGAGGCCAAGCATGACACACGGACGGACACGGCCTGCGTCTTGCCCCGCACGGGTGCTGCATGGTGGGGCCGAAGCATCTGGAAAGTGATAAGCGTGTGAGACCATGGTGAAACACTGCATCTTTACATATCATAAACCCTGTATGCGTCCTCTCAATCATACCATATATCCGTCACTACAAGATTTGCAGGAGCATGCAAGCTCCATCCGAATGTGATACCCGCCGCAAGCTCGCAGGAGGGGTGAACGAGCAACTTCTGGGAGGTCTTCGTAAGAACGATCTGGGGCTATCAGGCCAGACTGAAGAGCCATTCAGCTGGATCCGGCCCGTGATGAAGCACGATTAAGGAGGATGTGTGCTAGATTAGGCGGTTGTTCGACCACGGATGTATCAGCGCCGGTGCTGAACTTCACATCCCAGCAATCCTAAGAGGAGGATGGGAAGGAGAGGCAGGAGGGGGAGGAGGGGGCGGAGCAGGGAGAGAAGGGGAGGAAGGGAATGAGAAGGGGGGAGGAGGAGGCGGATTGGAGGGAACGGACAAAAAAACAGGGTGCACGGGCGAGGCTGCAATACGCCCTCCCGTCCAGAGCCCTCTCCTCATGAGGCCGGACCTGGGACAGAAGAGCACCCTCCAAGATCATGAGAGACCCTCCGACGGCCAGGCTGAAGAACATCCGAGGGCACCCTCCCCCAGGTTGCGCAAGAACGCCCGACAGATACACAGAGAACATTGGGGCACCCTCCACGAGCCGACCTCGGTCAAATGCCTCGGTCCGACCGTGAGCCCTCCCGTCCCGAGCCCTCTCTGCACACGCCACCGCAAGCATTCTCTCCACTTCGATCCGCCCCGTGGGCCTGCGATTATTCTGGCGGGGGCCGCGGTTGCGCACAGGAAGCGCTGCATCTCACAAAACATAGCAACGCAACGCATGCCGGTGCACAGCGGTGCACAGCACAACATCGTATTGAATGCCGTTGCCCGGCTCCAAAGGAATCTCGATGATCCTCAGAAAGAGTGCTAGTCCCATTGTGTGTTTGTCCATCGAGGACCTTCGACACGACCAAGGCGATGTACCAATCCACTGATTAGGCTGAAGGGGGTAAACACGCATTGGGCTAACACACGTCCTGCGGATCATCGAGACTTGGAGGGTAAGTGGCCCGTCTGAAAGACAGGGCCTGTCAGGATCGCCGGCTCCATGTCCTCCGCACAATGCCTGCCCGATGTGGGTGCATTCGACTGCTCAGTGCCATCCGGAAGCGCGGGAACGAGGCCCGCGCTGTAGCGGGAGCACGATCTTGAATGACCGAAGCGCGGAAATGAGGGCGGCGCTGCAGCGGGAAAGGGTTGGAGGGGGAGGGAGGAGGGAGGAGAGAGTTGGGAGGAGGGAGAAGGGAGTTGGGAGGAGCCCCTGGGGACACTCTCGGGGCCTCCTGGGAGCTTCCCGGGAGCCTCTTGGATGTCTCTGGGGGCCTCCCCGTGCCTCTTGGGGGTCTTTGGGGTCTCTTGGGGTGCTCAAGGATCAGGGAGGGAACAAAACACACACACGCACAGTCTTCTCGGCGACTTCCTCGAAAATAATGGAAGATCTACGAAGCGGGGGGGGGACGACGCGAAACTCCAGAAAATATGGGACATGAGTGGGAATCCAGGGCAAATATTGGAAACAAGTTAAAACTATTGGGGTTTGCGCGCTGTTTGTTTGTTATGTTTATCTCTTTTGGTAAGAAGGCATGTTGGGTAAATGTTGCGTAGATGTTGGATATCTCTATTAAGCACATGTCTGGGTAAATGTGTACTCGACCAGGAAACATACTTGCGGGCAAGAGTTGTATTGGGTAACTATGGGGAAACTTAACACCATATTATTGGGATCTGGGCGGGTTTCTTTGCGTGCCCCTGGGCCCATCCAAGCGCAGCGCGAGGCGAGCGGAGGCGAGGGCGGCGAGGGCGGCGAGGCGAGGCCGCCCGCCCCGCCCGCCCGCCCCCCCCCCCCTCCGGTAGTGGTGGGCGTCGTTGTACGCGTCGATCGCCTGGGTCTCCAGCCTGCCGCCCGGCCCGCCCCGCCCCGCGTCCTCCCTCGCCCTCCTCGTCTTCCTCCTCCTCCTCCTCCTCCTCCTCCTCGCCCTCCTCCTTCTCCCTCGGGCCGCATCCTCATCTCTTCCTCCTCCTCCCTCCTCCCTCCCTCCTCCCTCCTCCTCGTCCTCGTCTTCCCCTTCCTCCTCCCCCGCCCCTCCCTCTCCTCCTTCGTCTACTCTTCCTCCTCCTCTTCCTCCTCTCTTCCTCCTCCTCTCTCTCTCCTCCGCGTCCTCCTTCTCCCCGTCCTTCTCCTCCTCCTCCTCCTCCTCCTACTCCTTCCTCATCCTCCTCTTCCCTCCCCCCCTCCTCCTCGTTCCTCCTCCTCCCGATCCCCCCCCGTGCTCCCGTGCCCCCCGCCCTCCTGCATTTTCATTCTTTTTTCCCTATTAATAAACACCCCCTCCCCCAGGCGACTGGGGGCCAACCCGAGTCCATGCCGACCCCCCCCCCACCATCCCTTGTAAAAAAACAATACAAACCACACTTTGCCATCAAATTCGGAACATGCGCAGCCAACCCGATGCGGCCCCCTCCCCCCCCCCCCCCCCCCCCCCCCCGCCCCCCCCCCACCCCCCCCCCACCCACCGTTCCCTGTCACTCAAAACAGACAGAATAACATGGCGGCGGCTGGCGGCTGCGGCGGCTGCGGGGGGCTGCGGCGGCGGCGGCGGGCGGCGGCGGCGGCGGCGGCGGGGGACGGCGGGGGCGGCGGCATCGGCTGCGGCGACAAGTGCGCGGTGGCTTGGCGCGGCGGCTGCGGCGGCGGTTTGGCTGCGGGGGCGGCGGGGAGGGCGGCGGCGGCGGCGGCGGCGGCGGCGGGGCAGCGCTGCGGCGGCGGCGGCGGCGGCGGCGGCGGCGCGGCGGCGGCGGCGGCGGCGGCGGCGGAGGCGGCGGCGGCGGCGTCGGATTGGCCCCCAGTAGCTCCCCATCCCAAGACGACTGCTGAATATGCTGAGGCTCGGGCCAGACTCGGGTGCTAAGTATGTGTTGGGAGGGCGGGTGGGAGTGAGCGAGACGGCTTGCGGGCGGGGAGGGGGTAACTTATCTTTCTCCCCACCTGATCCCCCCCCCTCCCCATCCCTGACCCTCCTCCTCCCTCCCCCCCCACTCCTCGCCTCCTCGGTTTCCCTCGTTCAGCCCTCGCTCCGCCGCGGCTGCAGAACGGCATCAGCACGAGATCGGCCCACGAAACCGACGCCCTCCGCCCGCCCGCGCGGGACCTGCGTGCGCACAGCGCTCCGGGGCGGGCGGCTCGCGGGGGCGGGCCCCTCAGGGGGCCGCGACGGCGGAGCGCCGGCGCTGGGGCGGCCTGCGCAGCCCCCTTTCGGTTCGGCACTGATCACAGGTAGAGGCAAACGTGCCTCCGAGTATGTGGGCCTCCCAGATAGTTACCAGCCTGGAACATATCCCTATCCCAATGCTGGGTATCTCCTCATCACGATGCCAATCTTAGGGGTTCCTTTTTTTTTGAGGACGAATCCCTAAGATTGTCATCGCCTTTTAGCGTGTAAGTCTTAGGGATAGGGATGGCTGGTAAGATCGGGTCCGAGTAGATGGGGTCGGAGGATCGCGCCGCATCGCCTAGGAGACCTCTAGAGATGCCTCTAGAGACCTCTGCGAGGCCTCGTGCGTCTTGTCCACGAGACCAGGGCGGTGTCGGGTTGGGCCGAAGGCCACCGCCCACTGTGCGTGCCACGGGTGCACGGAGGGCCACTCGGGTCTCGGCCCAACCCGCCGGCCACCCGGATAGGCATGCAAGGCCGCAGAAAAGCTGGAACAACTCGTCTCCAAGACGTCTAAGATGGCCTAGCAGATGGCCTCCAAGATGCCTCGAAGACGCAAAGATGGCCCCAAGAGAGCCCAAGATGGCCCCAGGAGAGCCCAATATGGCCCCAAGATGTCTCCAAGACGGCCCGAGATGCACCCAAAACGGCCCAAGATGGCCAAGGCCGTCCCCAAAATGCCCCAAGAGGGTGACAAGAGGACCTCCAGGAGGTCAAACTCATTGATTGTCGTTTCTGTGCTTCCCATGGTTTTAGCATTCTCGCCTTTGCGGGCTTCCGCCGAACCACGACGGCCGCTCGTTTCTGGAGCCCGTGTGAACACTTGGAAATCTGCGGAATCCTGGAAACCTTGGAAAGTTTGAAACGTATCATTATCAAGACCTCTTGCTCCTGTGAATATCCGTACCTTTTCCTCCTCAACCTCCTCCTCCTCCTCCTCCTCCTCCTCCTCCTCCTCTGAGCATCTTGCAGGCGGTCGAGCTGTGGCCACGAGGCCACACGACGCAGAGGCAGCTGCGAGGAAGGCACCCTGCTCCTGCGAGGAAGGGGAGGAGACACAAAGGTACCTTTGAGCAGGGACCGACCGTCCCGGCATTCCTCTAGGCCTACCACGATATGTTCTCAAACCCGAACGTGTTCGAATCACAAAGCAGTGTTCTGAGAACAGAAGCCCGAGGTGTTACAACAGGCCAGACTCAGCAGAAATGGTCTAAGAACATCTCGCAGATGCCACAGCAAGCTCTTAGAGCATGCCTTGGTGGGCCTGAGAGCAGTCCAGGACGCTCCGCCACTGCTTGATTGAAGGTGCCCTGGGACACGCAAATAAATATACCCAAATCAACAGATCCCCTAGATGTTCATATATTTTCTGGGTTTCTCTTCCCCCCCACTTCCCATATTTTCACATATTTCCTGGGGAATCGACGATTACTTGTGTCTGTGTGCTTTCCCCCCCTTGAACTGCTTGCTGCCTGCGCCGCTGCTCCCCGGACCTCCCCCAGGACGCGCTCCGACAAGGACGCCGACGTGCACCCCGCTGTGGTGGCGCGGCGGTGTCGGCGCCCCCCCCGGCTCCTCCCCCGAGGAGAATGAAACAACCAGCCTCGAACGTATCCCTATCCCTAAGATGGGCGAGCAGAAAGCGAGGACAATCTTAGGGATAGGCCCTCAAAAACTGAGGGAATCCTTAAGATCGGCATCGAGGTGAGGTGATGTCAAACATAGGGATAGGGATATGTTCCAGGCTGGTAATGAAAGGGGCCCAGATGAAGGGGGCCCAGGGACGCACAAATAAAAAGACGCAACTAGCAGGATTCTCCCTATGTTCCGACATGTTCTTGGTTTCCGTCTTCCCCCCAACTCCCATAAGTTCCCACATCTTCCTGGGAGTCGATGATTGATTGTGTCTGCGTGCTTCTTTGCCTCTTGAGAGAATACAGGGCAGAAAGTAGACCCCAAAAATGACCACCCCGACACGCGAAGCCGTCTGGTGAGCGCGCCCAAAGAAGGAATCAAACAGGGCAGAGCTGTTCCGTAAACGCCCCGGGGCCTCCTCCTCCTCCTCCTCCCTTCTCCTCCCTCTCCTCCTCCTCTGCCCTCCTCTTCCTCCGCCGCCTCCTCCTCATCCCTCGTCCTCTCCCTCCTCCTCCTCCCCTCCTCCTCCTCCTCCTCCTCCTCCTCCTCCCTCCCCCTCCTCCCTCCTCCTCCTCCTCCCTCCTCCTGCCTGGGTGGCTTTCCCTCCCTTGAGAGCAGGCTCCGCCCGCCCCTCCGGGCGATGGTGTCGAACTCCTTGATCGTCGCCGCGCGCAAGCGCGTCAGCGCACGGAACACCGCCCGCTTGATCTCTGCGACCTACGCCCGCGCGGCCCGCCGGCGTGTCCCCCTACAGGATGGTTTTGGACGAAAAATAAGAAATAGTCAAAACGTACCCCCAAATTGTCAAAGAATACTCAAAACATAGTCCCTAGACTATTTTCTGACTGCTTTTGAATATCCCCCCTGTAGAGGGACAGGCCCGACTTAAACCTAAACCTATGGAACGGCCCCTGTTTCAACGCCTTGACTATAACGTCACGACTCGTGCTTCGGGGATCTTCTGACCCGGGTCAATCCAGACCCGGGTCAGCAGGAAACCAAAAAACTGCAACGCAGGGGAAACAAAAATGCAACGCAAGTCTTCGCAAACCCGGGTCAGCCAATAATTATGCGCGGCCGCCTCGCGGCCACGAGCGGCTCGCTGACCCGGGTCAGCCAGAGGGGGTCTTCGCAGGATCCTGCAGGATCCGGTGCCCTGGCTGACCCCCGTTTGCATTGACCCCCGTCTCGAGGCTTCCGATCCCCCTGCGTGCTGTCCTTCCCGGCCGCCTGGCCTTCGGCTCTCCCTCCGCCCCCCGCCCTCTTGCTCCGCTTGCAGTCGTCGTGCCACCAGCAGAAGAACCCTTCGTAAGGTTAGGTCGGGCCTGTCCGTCCCCCTACGGGGGGATTTTGGACGAGAAATACAAACATACCGAAACAATGCTCAAACATGTAATAAAAAGGAAAAAACAATTCTGGAGACTATTTCTTGACCATTCTTGGATATCCCTCCTGTGGTAAGGCGCAGGCCCGACTGAACAGTGAGGAGCGAGGGGGCCTCTCTGGCCACGGCGAGCCGCGGCCACGCAGGAGGTCCAGCCCTCACATCCGGGGAGCGGCCCGCAGAGCCGGGGCCCCTGCCAGAGCCCAAAAGGATCCCCATGTCGAGGTCGGGACTGTCCGGGACGCACAGGGACATACTGATTCTAGATGTCCTCATTGGAGGCGCGCATCCGACCCGAATATCGACCCGAATATATATATATATATATATATATATATATATACATATAACATTTATATTTTATTATATATTATATATATATATATTCGGCGGTGGACAAACCTCCCTTTAGTATAGTACACGTCCTTATGAGAAACGGCCTGGACCGAAACCGACGGACCTGGACCCGCAAAAATGACCGGCCGCGCGACGCCCTCTCGCGAACCGAAAACGGCCAATTCCTCAATCGACGTGTCAGGGTAGGAGGTCCATCCACCTCCGAATACATATTTATAATATGTAATACATATTATATATATATATACAAATATATATATATATATTATATATATGATAAATATGTGTATATATATATATACACACATCTTGCATTATGTCGTTTCCCGAGCGGTGTGGCCAGAAAGCGCCCGCCACGACGCATATACCACGCGCGTCGCCCCTGGGGGGGGGGGGGGCGACGCTCATATAGTATGTCTGAGCATGTTGGCGTGGCGCCGACTGTGCGTGCGTCTTCCTCACCAACTCGTTTCTCCCCTCCCTTGCCGTCGCAGCGTCTGCCCTCCCTCCTCATCCCTTCCGTTCCTCCTCGCTCTCGCTCCTGTGTCTCCTTGCCGGCCTCCAGAAGAGGGCGGGGAGGGCAGGGAATGGAAGGGGAGGAAGTGTCGAGGAGGTGAGGACTTTGTTGGTCTGCGGGACGGGAGCGGGCCCCTTCCGGTCAAGAGCTAAACGGGGCGCGAGTAGCCCTCGAGGAGGTGAGGACAAGGAAGGGACGAGAAGGCGAGGCGCAACAATTCAAGTGCCCAAATCTGCACGACTCCAGCGTTCCGCGTCCCGATGCCCCTCCCGCCACTCTGCCCCTCACGGCCCGCTTTGCCGCAGGCCGTGCACTTGATCCTGCCCCCGTCCTCCAGCGGCGGGCCGCTCTTCAACGCGCTAGCCGCGTTTGCCGTGTCGTCCTCCATCTCTCGTCGACGCTCGCCCTCTTCTTCCTCATTGGCATGATGATCTCCGTCGTGAGTACGGACCGCTCCCCCGAGCGGCTGGGTTGAGCGAATGCCTCGTTCCTTGCGCCATCTTGAGCAGCGTGCCCAGGTCCTTGATCGAGCCCCTGTTGACGCGTGGGGCTGCCCAGCCGCTCCGGCACGCACTCCTTGCTCACCTCCGCCGCGCTGTGCCCATTGCCGCTCGGCCCCGCCGGCCCGCCGGGCCATCGCGTGCCTGACCGGCCGCTGCCGCAACTGCTGATGCGATCATCGTTTGTCGAAGGGAGCACTTTGATGTTTGGCCCGAGTGCCGTGCGCTCGTGAGGCGCGAGCGCGATGCGAGGGCGAAATCCCCTGAATCGCTCGTGTTACTCTTTCGGCATCCTCCGTCCGCTTCCGCGCCGCCTCCTCAGGTTGCGCAAAGATGGCGCCGATGAGTGCCGTGCGCCTGTGCTGCCCTTTGTTCCAGTCCTCCTCGCACAAGCCCTCGGCCATCCGCTGGAGGAGAGAAAGATGCACTCGCCAATGCCCACGCCCGTGAAAACGTGGCTCAAGGCCGGCAGCAGCAACGGGTCACGGACACACGGCATACACCACTGTCTCCAGTGTAGCTGGGAGATCACGCATTGGGTTGTCGTGGAGGAAGTGCGGGATCCATCGGGAAGCGAGCCGCTGAGCGACCTCCTGCAGCATTGCGCAATCGTCGTGCTCGTGCCCCTCCTCCTGGTGCGGCTGAGGGGCAGTCTCTCCTTCGACGCCAGCTCACTGCGCGTGCCCTGGAGGAAGAAATGGATGCCGACGGTCAACACCAAGAACCGCACGATGATTGGCCAGCGCACCAAGCGCCGCACACAGCCCGTGACGGACAATGCCCGCCGCCTCAAGACAGAAGGTCCGGCCGCGGGGCCCGCCGTGGTCGCCCCAATCCCCTCGTTGGAGAGGAAGTGTGGCGACTCCTCTCCCTCTCTAGGCCACGGATATATACATATATATACACAGACAGCCACCGCTGAATTTTGCGTGCAGCTCCCCGTGAATCAAATCGCTGGTTCTCGCTGGTGATTTACGCACCGCCAACCTCCCCCGATGCCCAGGCACAGTCTAGTGGAGGGTGCCTGTGTCTAGTTTTTGTGGCGGGCTCTCCCTCTCCCAAGTCCTCCAGTTTCGCTATGGAGGACATGTCGTACAAGCACAGGAAGGCCCAACGAAAATGAATGTGAGGAATGCCGCTCTCTGCTGCTGGAGCTGCGCGAGAGCGACGCGTCGCATCAGTCCTCCGCCTCCACGTGCCGCCCCCCTTATCGCCTCTGGCGCCGTCGCTCGCTCGCCACCACCCCTGGCAGGCCGGAAGCACCCAGCTCAAAGTTCCAACCGCGGGTAAAAAGTGGCGGAGGCTGGCGAGGAAGGGGAATTGAGAGGGGCACGAGAGGCCTCCCTGCTGCCGGCTTCGCCGCGGCCGGCAGCTGCAGGCCGCTGGTGCGCGTGCAGCGGTCACGGTGCGAGCTGTTCCACTGGTGAGGTGTTGGGCTGCCTTCCCTTGTCTGCTGACACTACTCAACAAGGGGCCAACTCCTGCCTCCGTTGCGGCACCCCTGGTCTCGAGCACAGCCCTCGCTGGGCTGGACAGCCCGAGAGGGAACGGAAACGCGCGGGCTCGCAGACACCGGCTACCACAAAGAGTTGGCCAAATCCCGTCGTGCTCTGCTGCTTTATTCTCTTGCACAGGGTGTCTAGAGCCCCGACCACGTTCTTCCGCGTCGCACCGCACCCCCTCCTGCCCCGCCGCCTCTCGTACCCCTTCCACAGCGTTCCCAAGTGGCCCAGTGGGACCTCTGCCCAGTGCCCCTCCCGCCTCGACCAATTTATTCCGCGTCGCGCCGCGCCTGGCTCCCCTCCCCGCCCCCTCCAACTCCTTCTCCGCCCTCCCCTTTCCCTCCCTGCCCCCGCCACCGCCACCTCAGCGTTCCCCAGCAGCCAAATGACCCCTCCGTCCGGACGACTTTAAACCGCGTCGCGCACCGCACCCTCCCTTCCTCTCCCCAGCGTTCCCCAAAGGCCCAGTGGAACTTCCGCCCTCCGCCTCGGCAATTTTATTCCGCGTCGCACCGCTCCCTCCCCCCTCCTGCCCGCCCCCCCCTCCTCTCCCCAGCGTTCCCCTTCGGCCCAATGGAACTTCTGCCCAGAGCCCCCTCCGCCCCGACCATTATATTCCGCGTCGCGCCGCACCCGCCCCCCCACCCCCTGCCCCCCTCCGCCCCCTCCCCAGCCCCAGTGGTTCAGTGGAACCTCCGCCAAGTGCCCCCTCCGCCCCGATTATTTCGTTTCGCGTCGCACGCGCCCCCCGTTCCTCTCCTCCTCTCCTCATCCTCCTCCTCCTCCTCTCCTTCCTCCTGCTCCTCCTCCTCCTCCTCCTCCTCCTCCCCTCTCCTCTACCCAACTTTCACCAGAGGCCCAAGGGAATCTCCGCCCGGTGCCCCCTCCGCCCCCCTCCCCGCCCCCCCACACAACCCACCCAGCGTGCCCCAACGGCCTAACGCAACCTCCGCCCAGTGGCTTCCCCCCCCCGACAATTTGATTCCCGGCCCCCGCCGCCCCCTCCACGGGGCTTTCCAAACGACCCAATTGCCCCCTCCGCCTCGACCATTTTACTCCGCGTCGCGTCGCCCTCCCTCCCCTGCGCCCCCCGCGTCCCAGTGGAACCCCGCCCAGTGCCCCCGTCGCACCCAATCCACCCTCCCCAGCGTTCCCTTGCGCTTGCGCCTCAATCGAAGCTCCGCCCAGTATCCACCGCGCCCCGACCACCACATTGCGCGTCGCGTCGCATCCCCCTCCCCGCCCACGCCACCGCACCTCCCTCCCAGGCCCAGTGCCCCCTCCGCCCCGACGACTTCATTCCGCGTCGCGCTTCCCCGCCCCGGCCATGTTATTCCGCATCGCGTCGCACCGCGCCCCCCCCGCCCCCGCCACTCCCTCCCCGGCGCCCCCCAACAACCCAGTGCCCCCTCCGCCCCGACGACTTTTTCTCGCGTCGCGTCGCACCGCCCTCTCCGTTACCCCGAGCCCCAATGGAACCCCGCCCAGTGCCCCCCTCTGCCCCGACCATGTCATTATCCTCCCCTCCTTGCCCTGCCCCCGCCCCTCCTCCCCTCCTTTCCCCGGCGTTCCCTAGCGGCCCAGCGCCCCCTCCGCCCCGACGACTTGCTTCCGCGTGGCGTCGCCTCCCCCTGTCCAGCGTTGCCCCCTTCGCCCTCGGCCCCGCAACTTTGCCCTGCGTCGTCTCCCCTCCTCCCCAACGTTCCCCAAATTTCCCCCGCGCCGATCGCTTTACTCCGCGTCGCGTGGCACCCCCCTCCCCGACCCCCGCCACCCCCCCCTCCCGTCCCCCCCCGGCGTTCACCAGCGGCCCCTCGCGTCCTCCCGATTGCTGTCCTCCGCGTCGCGTCGCCCCCCCTCCCCAGTGCCCCCCCGCGCCCCAGAGGACCCCCCGCCCAGTGCCCCCTCCGCCCCGATCATTTCATTCCGCGTCGCGTCGCACCCCCTCTCCCCGCCCTCAGCTCGGTCCCCAGCTCCAGCTCGGTCCCCAGCGCCCCCCTCGTCTTCGCCGCCCTTCCGTCCCCAACGGCCAGCCGAGCGCACCCTCCGCTCCGACCGCTTTATTTCGCGTCCCCCCCCCCGTCCTCAATTCCGTCCTGGCACGGCGCGGTGCCAGCCCCCTTCCGCAGCCCATGCACGCTCTCCGCACCCCTCCCCACGCCAGCCAGCGCGCCCCGCGGGCCCGCGAGGATTCCACGGATCGGCGCCGGACCCTCCTCCCAGGCGCGCGGCCACGGGGGGTCCGCCGCATCACTCCCTCTGCGCATCACTCCCTCCCTCCCTCCCTCCCTCCCTCGCTCCCTCCCTCCCCCTCCCGCCCGCCTCTCCTTCGTCCCGTCCCTCCTCTCCTCCGTTCTCCCTCCTCCTCTTCCTCTCCTCTCCTCCTCCTCCTCTCCTCCTCCTCCGCCTCCTCCTCCTCCTCCCCTCCCCTCTCCTCCTCCTCCTCCTCCTACTCCTCCTCTCCTCCCCTCCTCCTCCTCCTCCTCCTCCACCTCCGCCTCCTCCTCCGCCTCCTCCTCCTCCTCCTCCTCCCTCTCGCTCTGCAGGGCCAGCCAACATCATGTCGGGAACACACGTCGGATCGGACCGGGACGCGCGTCGGATCCGGGTGCATCGGCACGGAATCGGCATCGAGCCGGGTCGGCCGCGCCAGGATGCGCAGCAGCGCCATGCCCGCATCTCGCCGCATCGGATCGGCCCTTACAGTCGGCCCGAATTATGGGGATGCGCGATAAGGATGCAAGGGCCTTGGACGCTCAACTCAAAGCTTGTCGAGCGGGGCGCGGCCATCGAAAGTGGCCAAGGATGGACCGAAAAGACAAAGATGCAAGGGTACCTTTTTGGAAGGTTGCACATCCGTACTACTAGAGGAAGAAAGACCGGCATAAACATCAACTGTTGGAGGTCCACGCGGATTGTTTGGATCTGCGCTGGACCCCCCTCGGGGCGGCGCTGGAGGCGCCGCCGGGGGTTCCCAACGCGGATCCAAGAAATCCGCGTGGAGCGCAAAAACGTTTATGTTTTTAATGGCGTTGTTTCTTTTTCGCGCTATGGGGAATCGGCGCCCCTCGACGCCAAGTCGACGCTAGATCGACGCCACATCGAGGCCGACCGAGGCCAAATCGACGCTGACTCGAGGGTTGCCCATCCTCACTGTGCGGGTTGACTGCACCGTTGCCCGATATCCGCTTCCCCTGGGGGGCCCATCCAGGTCCAACCTCGGCTCTGAGAATCGGGGATCTTCTGACCCGGGTCAATCCAGACCCGGGTCAGCAAGAAACCAAAAACTGCAATGCAAGAGCAAAAACTGCACCGCAGGTCTTCGCAGACCCGGGTCAGCCAATAGGCGCGGCCGCCTCGCGGCCACGAGCGCCTCGCTGACCCCGGTCAGCCAGACGGGGTCTTCGCAGGATCCTGCAGGATCTGGTGCCCCGGCTGACCCCCGTCTGTATTGACCCCCGTCTCAAGGCTCCCGAGAAAAGCCACCGTTGCGGAAGCCGGCGCCCGCCCGCCCCCAAAAAGAGCGCACCCTCGGCGGCGCGCAGCTGCTGAACCACCGCCTGTCCTTGCGGATGCCATGGCAATGGACACTCTAACAACCCCATCAGTTAAGTAAACATGTGTTCAACATGTGTAACGTATGTTCTAAACATGCATGAAACATGTTTTTGGTTCTACATCAGAGTAAGGGGGCCGAACGGTCATTCACTGTCCCTGGGTGCGTGGCTGAAGTGGGATTCCGCGGTGCGGATTATCGTTGTTGTTGTTGTTGTCGTCGTCGTCGTTGTTGTTGTTGGTGGTGTTGTTGTTGTTGTTGTTGTTATTGTTATTGTTATTGTTATTGTTATTGTTATTGTTATTGTTATTGTTGTTGTTATTGTTATTGTTATTGTTATTGTTATTGTTGTTGTTGTTGTTTGTTGTTGTTGTTGTTGTTGTTGTTGTTGTTGTTGTTGTTGTTATTTGTTGTTTGTGGTTGTTGTTGGTGTTGCTGCTGCTGCGGCTGATGTTGCTGCTGCTGCTGTTGTTGTTGTTGTTGTGGTTGTTGTTGTTGTTGTTGGTGTTTGTTGTCGTCGTCCCACCCGCACCCCTCCCCGCGACCCACCCGCGACCCACCCCGCGACCCAGCCCGCGACCCACCCGCGACCCACCCGCGACCCACCCGCGACCCACCCCGCGACCCACCCGGCGACCCACCCCGCGACCCACCCGCGACCCACCCGCGACCCGCCCGCGACCCACCCGCGACCCAGCCCGCGACCCAGCCGGCGACGCACCCCGCGACACACCTTCGACCCCAACCGCGTTCAAGGTACAAACCATCATTTTCGGCGCCGGCGGCGGTTTTTTTTGCATCCCTTCCAGCTGGAGAGCCCGCGACCCACCCCGCGACCAACTCGCGACCAACCCGCGACCCAAGCCACGTTCGGGGTACAAACCACATTTTTCGGCGCCTGCGGCGGGCAGCTTTTGCGTTCGTTTCAGGTGAAGAGCCCGCGGCCCACCCGCGACCACGCTCAGGGTGCAAACCACATTTTTCGGCGCCTGCGGCGGGCATCGTTTGCAGTCGTTCCCGGTGGAGAACCCGCGGCCCACCCGCGACCCGAACCACGGTCAGTGCACAAACTAATGTATTCGGCGCCTGCGGCGGGCTGCTTTTGCATTCCTTCCAGATGGACGTGGAGAGCCCGCGACCCACCCGCGACCCAAACCACGTTCACTGAACAAATCAATGCCGCACAAGCGCAGCGGCGGATTTTCGCATGCCGTCTGAGCCCGCAACGACCTCTTCAAGCCCCGCGCATCCACACCAGCCCGTCCAGCAACTTTGCCCTGGCGAGTTGCCTTTTATCAGAGAAGCCGGGGAGCATAAAGTGGAAAAAAGGATAGCGTTGCCGTTATCTTGGGAAAAGGAGGGGGAGACAGGAGGAGTAAACAGCGGACGAGGAGGACGCGGAAGAAGAGAGGATGTAAGGATTATGTGGAGAAAGAGGAGGAGGAGCAGGAGGACGAGGAGGGGAAGGAGGCGGAGGAAGGGGAGGAAGAGGGGGACGAGGAGGGGGAGGAGGGGGAGGAGGAGGAGGATGGACGACAATGGGAAGACGACGATGGAGGCCGATGAGGGGGAGTACGAAGATGGGAGGACGATGAGGGAAGGACGAGGGGGGAGAGGGAGGACGAGGACGAACAGGAGGAGGAGGAGGATGACGATGACGATGAGGACGAGGACGAGGACGAGGAAGAGGAGAAGGAGGAGGAGGAGGAGGAGGAGGAGGAGGAGGAGGAGAGCGCCATCGGCAGGGAAGGTGGGGGCCACGAAGTCCGCCAGCTCGACGACGCCCGCGTCGCCTGCGCCCGCCCCCTCACTCTTATCCGCAATTGCGGGGTGCTACGTATTTCAAACATGTTTAACCCATGTTTTAGACATCTGGAAATGATTTGGCAACATGCGTCCTCTCCATTGGTCGTCCTCCACGAGCCTGTCCCGAGGCTGGAGACAAAACCGCCGAGGCTCCCGGCGGCAACGCCCAAAGAAAGGGACACCGGCAACGAGTCGAAGCGAGGCAGCTTGGCGACGATCAAAAACGGGTCTCACGCGGGCTGGCAGAGCGACCTGACCCCCTCCTCCTCCTCCTCCTCCTCCTCCTCCTCCTCCTCCTCATGCTCTTCCTCCCCCTCCTCCTGCTCCTGCTCCTGCTCCTCCTCCTCCTCCTCCTCCTCCCTCATCCTCCTCCTTCTCCTCCTTGGATCACCATGATCCCAAGGCGGAGGCCTCCGGGCCGCCAGCGCGGCACGCTGCATTGAAAATCTAGAGCGCTGACGCGCGGCCTGACGACAGCAGTTTTTACGCGCAGTTGTCCGCTGGAGAAAACCGCCGAGGCCCAGCGGCGACGCCCGAAGACAGGGCCGCTGGCGATCGAACCGAAGCGAGCCAGCTGGAATCTCCAAGCAGAGGTACCCACACAAAAATAAACTTGTTGCGCTCCGCGCGGACTTCTCGGATCTGCGCTTGACCCCACTCCCTGGCGCGCGGAGTGCGCCAGGGGCGGCGCTGGAGGCGCCGCCAGGGGGTCCCCGGCGCAGAGCCAAGAAATCCGCGCGGAGGGCCAACAATTCATGTGTATGCCGTGAGTTGTCTCCGAGTATCGGGATTGAATAAGATCTGACGGATCGACGCGCACCCTGCTCTGACCCACGCCCACCCAGGAGGAGGAGGAGGAGGAGGAGGAGGAGGAGGAGGAGGAGGAGCCTCCCGCTGCGCGGCCCGCCGCTACCGCGCCCTGCCTCGGCGTTCTCCACCGCGTCCACCAGCGTGTCCTGCGTCTTGGCCGCGTGGTCCTGCAGCTCCTTGGCCGTGTCCTCCTTGCCGAAGGGCGCGATCCTTGCGGAGGGGAGCCATCGCACGGTTGCGGGACCTTTTGGAGGACACCGTCGCCCGAGACGTCCTCGGAGAACGACCCCAGTCCCGAAACCGTGCGGTCGCAAGGGATCCCCACTGACTCGCCACACGGTGGTCACCGCACCGTTTCGGGGCCTCCGCCTTGGGATCACGGCGATCCAAGGAGGAGAAGGAGGAGGATGAGGGAGGAGGACGAGGAGGAGGAGGATGAGGAGCAGGAGGAGGGGGAGGAAGAGCAGGAGGAGGAGGAGGAGGAGGAGGAGGAGGAGGAGGAGGAGGAGGAGGAGGAGGAGGAGGAGGAGGAGAGAGAGGAGGTCGAGGATGGAAGATTGGTCGACGCGTTGGGCGCCGTGGGGGGCCTTGGCGCCTCTCGGCAGCCGCGAACCTCACCCGCGCCGCGCCTCCCTCTGCCTCCTCTGCCTCGACCGCCTCCGCTTCCTGCCGCGCGTGCGGACCACGAGGATGCACAGTAAGGGTGCAGGGCGCTTGGACGTCCAAGCTGAAGCCATCTCGACGGGGGGGCGGGGCTGGCCAGGGGAAGCGACCGAATAGGGCCCGAAGAGGCAAGGGTGCAAGGGCACCCTCGGCAAGCGTACGTGGCGGCGTCCGAACCCTGCCCCACGAACCGTCGATTCTCCTAGTCCGATGGGGGGCATGGGGGTGGGATCTCGACCCGTCCCCGACGACGGACTCCGAACCCTCACCCCGCGGTCCATTGAGTGGAGTTGCCCGACCCGTTGAGCGGCGAGGGTAGGACTAGGACCTCGCCGCCGAGAGCTGCTCGACCCGATGCTCCTGCTTAAGTGTGCTGCGCCCGTTCGAGCTGACGCCCTCGCCGCCCGCGCCATGCCCGCATCGCTCGGCCATTCGGTGCCCCCATCGCCCCCTTCGCTTGGCCCCTCTCGGGGCCTTCGTGAGTGGTGCGCGCGGCCCTCCTCGCCTCGGCTCCCGTCGCCGTCGTGGCTTGCCCAGGCCAGCTCTGGATGTTCTGGGCACCCTTGTTGCTCCTGCTCTCCCTGCTCGTCCTGCCCCGTGGCTGGCGAGGGCGGAAAAGGGGAGCAGGAGGAGGAATACGCAGCATTGACAGTTGCGCAATGTCAATCCTGCTGTCCTCTCTCCCCAGGCCTCCTCGGAGCGGGGCAGCTGTTCTACCACGTACTGCCCTGAGCGCACAACATGTGACTTTCGTTCGGACCGTTTGCGGAATTTCCTTGTGCTCGAGCTGCAACGTTGGCCTCATTACAGGATCAACGCTGTGCTCTGGTCGCTACTAGGGGCGTTATTGCTACAAAGCGGGCTTCAATGTTGGATCCGAATCATCAGTCGTCGTTGTCGCCCCACTCCATTCTTGTGGATGCCACGACAATGGACATTCGAACCATTCTATCATTGAATTCGACATGTCTTGTACATGTCTTCCGCATGTATTAAATGTGTTCGAAAGGCGTTTAAAACATGGTTAGCACTCTAGAAACATAGCTTGACATGTTAGGGCATATGGAAAGTATGTGGCAACATGCCTCCTCCCGTTGATCGTCTTCCACAACTCCATTCCCCTTCTCCCCGTTCCCGTGGTCCTCCTGCTCCTCCCGCTCCTGGTGCTCCTGCCCCTGCCGCTGTGCATCATCCTCCTTCTCCTCCGCTTCTTCCTCCTCCTCCTCCGCCTCCTCCTCCTCCTCCTCCTCCTCCTCCCTGCATCCTCCTCCTCCTCCTCCTCGTCCTCCCTGCGTTCTCTTCCTCCTCCTCCTCCTCCTGCTGGTCATCATTTTGCTCATGCGCCACCTCCTCCTCCTCCAGTGTGTACAGCTCCCCTTTTCCCCCATCGCGCAGGGCACGATTGAGGAAACCAGAAGGGCACCGATAATCACCGCGACTCCCCGGACCTCCGCTGGGGTGCGTTCTGACAAGCGCAACCAAGCGGTGGCGACGAGGGCCGCCCAGGAGGCCCAAGAAGGGGACAACGATTAGGTCGGTCCTGTCCCCCTACAGGTGGATTTTCGACGAAAAATCAAAAATGCCCCCAAAATACACCAAAAAGGTCAGAAAATACTCAAAACATAATCCCCAGACTATTTTTGGACTATCTGTTGATTATGTTCGGGGTACTTCTCATTCTTCGTCGAGAATCCCCCTGTAGGGGGACATGCCCGACTTAAGACAACGAGGAAAGGTAGAGGTATCTCTTCCTCCTCTGAACGAGGTCCCCTGGGGGCCGCCCAGGAGGCCCAAGAAGGGGACAACGAGGAAAGGCAAAGGTACCTCTTCCTCCTCTGGACGAGGTCCTCTGGGGGCTCCGGGTCCGCCGTGACACCCGCCAGCGGACAGAGAAATCCAGCGCGGCGGGCAGGGCTCTCCACAGGAGCCTCCCAGACGGTCGACGGCCCAGGAGGCCTTCGAGGTGGCAGCGAATTGGGCTCAGAAGCTCTCCTCCTCCTCCACCTTCCTCCTCCTCCTCCTCCTCCTCCTCCTCCTCCTCCTCCTCTTCCTCCTATTCCAAATCCTCCTCCTCCTCCTCCTCCTCCTCCTCCTCCTCGGGTTGCCTCTAAGACGGCCCCGCGATGGCTCCAGGACGGTCCAAGGCCGCTCCCCTGACGACCCCAAGACACATCCAGGCCACCGTCCGATCCATCAAGGGACACGCGACGATGACCCCAAGAGACCCAAACAGAAGCCCGTAGAGTCCGAGAGTGCTCCAGCGAGGCCACACGGGAGCTCCAAAGCGGGCCCAGTCGGCACACGCAATAGACTAACCCTCGGGGGGGCCATCGTGACTGCCGCTCTGCGGGGGGCTCAATATGTCATCGCAGCGGGAGCGGATCCGCAGGATTGACAGGACAACACGTTTGACGAGGGCTGGCCCCGCATGCTTTCAGCCCCACCCCTCTCCAGCTTCCCGTATCCCCCCCCGCTCCCGCCCGATGTGCCTCCCCCCGTCCCCCTCATTTTTCTTCCCCAGTCCCTCGCATCCCCCTTATCTCCCTCCCCTTTTCCTGATGTCACCATCCCCTCCCCCTACCCCTGTCCCTTTCCACGCTCCCCTGCCTGCCACTTCATGCCCCCCACTCCCCGTCGCTTCCCCACCTTGTTTACTGCGATTACCCCCCTCCGCCTCCCTCACGGCCCACTCATTGGCTGGCCGCCGCTCTCTTGTTGAAATTCATCTCGAGGTCGTGGGTCATCTCCTGGCAACGGGCAGGAGCAGGAGGAGGAGGAGGAGGAGGAGGAGAAGGAGGAGGAGGAGGATGAGGAGGATGAGGAGGGGGAGCCGGAGGAGGAGGAGCGGGAGGAGGACGAGGAGGAGGAGGAGCGGGAGGAGGAGGAGGAGGAGGAGGAGGAGGAGGAGGAGGAGGAGGAGGGGGACGAGGAGGCACAGCAGCAGGAGCAGGAGCAGCAGGAGCGGGAGGAGGATGAGGGAGGCCGCGGAAGAGTGAGGACCCGAGGGCGAGAAAGGAGGGGGTGCAGCCCACGGAGGTTGGCGGGTGGAGTGATGGGATGACGGTTGAGCTGGGAACAAAGAAGACAGAGAACGAGGAGGGAAGAGAAGGCAGATCAGCCATCGTGCCCCCTGGTACGCTTAGGCGTGGTATAATGACAAGTGCTGTCTGGTAGCACCCACACAAACTCTGCATACACACATGTGTTCTGATACGTATATGTATATATATGTATGTATATAACAATACATATATATAGGTATGTATGTGTGTTGGTCAGCGTGGGGCCCAAACAGCGTATTTCTAGCTCTCTGCGTCGCGCGAGCTATGTATTGCAATGCCGTGCAACTCGCGACATGCAATGTATGTTGTGCTACAGGTAGTGTGTCCGCTCCAGATTGTGCAATCTGTGTTGTGCTATCTGTTGGTTGCAACCTGAGTTGTGCAATATACGGTGCGCGGGGTATGCTTTGCAATCTTTGTGGTACAACCGATGTAGCACACTAGATAGATCACCACAAATGCTGTGCAATATGTGTAAACACATGTCTGCGATGCAATGCGTGGTGAAATCAAGGTGGTGCAATTGATGTTGCGAAGTATACGAGGTGCAAGGCATGTGGTGCCATATGTGATCTGCTACTGACGTTGCGCAATCCATGTGAAGCAACATACGTGGTGAGCTCGTGGCGGTGAAACAGACATTGTGCAATACATGGTGTGTACACTATGTGGTGCTATCTATATGGTAGGAGCTGACACGTTCACACAGTATTAATAGTATGGTTCAGCAAACGATTGTGATGTTGGGGAAGTGGTCGAAAACTGCGGAGCCAGGTAAACAAGGCAAAGCCACGCAGCGCAAAACAGTGTCAATCGGGGCCAGAAAGATAGAACGTCTCGCACTGCAGTGCGAAGCCGATGCAAAACCACGGTGCCTCGTAACAGTCATGGCGGATACGCTCCCACGGGCAACCAAAACGGCCGGGGCAGACAACCAAGATTGTCAAGCCGGATACATCTGCCTCCAGCGCGGCCGCAGACGCCCCCAGGGAGGCCCACGGGGCCCCCGCGCCTGCCAACACTTTTTTGATTCGCGGGTCGAGAGCGCACCTCTTCCGGTCGAAGCTAAGCGGGCCGCGCGAAGCGTGAATTAACCAGCGAGCCCGCACCTGCCAACACGCCGCGCCCTTGACGCCCGGCGGGCCCGCGCGCCCGCGGCGACGGGCGGCGGCCCTCCGCGGCGCCTGGCCAGGCCGCGCGCGGGGCGCCCTAAGGGCGCAGCGCTCGTGGAGGCGCCGGGCGGTGGGCGGGCGCACAGGGAAAAAGCAGCCCCCTCCTCCTCCTCCTCCTCCTCCTCCTCCTCCTCTTCCTCCTCTTCCTCCTCTTCCTCCTTTTCCTCCTTTGCCTCCTCCGCCTCCGCCTCCGCCTCCTCCGCCTCCGCCTCCACCTCCGATTCCGCCTCCGCCTCCCGCGCAGCGCGCGCTGCGCGTGGAGAGGCGGTCGCAGGCCACGGAGCCTCCGGCGCGGCCGCGGCTCGGCGGCACCCCCGCGCGCGCGCGAGCGACGCGTCAACGCCGCCGCGCGCGCGCGGCCCCCCGCAAACCCACCATGGACCCCGCAGGACTAAAGGAGCCCGAGGACACACAAATAGATCCCCATATCTCCCCATGTCTGCCGGGCTTTCGTCTTCCTCCACTTGATTCATCCCTCCCCGTAGCTTCTGATGAATCGAGGAGCATTTGCGCCTGCGTGCTTTTCCCCTCCTGGGGTGCCTCCGGGGGTCGCGAGGCAGCCGCGCGTTTCCGCGCTGGCCCCCTCGGGACCTGGCGTTATGTCGGGCCTGTCCCCCTACAGGGGGATTTTCGACGAAAAATCAAAAAAAATCCCCAAAAAATGCCCAACAAGGTCCAACAATACTCGAAACATTGTCCCTGGACTATTTCTAGACTATTTGTTTGACTATCTTATTGAATATGTACTACCTAACAGCTTTTGCTGTTAGGTTTCTAGTGCTGTCAAAAGAGAACATATTGACGCCCCAGGGGGTCTGGGCGGGAACCGGATGCGGGAACCGTAAAAAAACCGGCAGCCCCAGGAATCCTTAGAAATCCTCAGGAATCCATTCCCAGAACACCATTCCCGGGCCACATTTTGAATGCCCGGAACCAACTGTAAGCCACTTCGTGATCTTCGTCTTCCCAGACACCATTCCCAGGCCATATTTTGAATGCCCGGAGCCAACTGTAGGCCACTTCGCGTTCTGCGCGCTCCCAGAACACAACTCCCAGGCACACATTTGGAATGCCCGGAGCCAACTGTAGGCCACTTCGTGTTCTTCGTGTTCCCAGGAACACCATTCCCAGGCCACATGTTGAATGCCCGGAGCCAACTGTAGGCCACTTCGTGTTCTTCGTGTTCCCAGAACACCAGTCCTGTGCCATATTTTGAATGCCCGAGCTGATGCAGGCTGAGGCCGAGGCAGGCTGAGGCTGAGGCTGAGGCACGCCGAGGCAGGCTGAGGCTGAGGCTGAGGCAGGCTGAGGCTGAGGCAGGCTGAGGCTGAGGCAGGCTGAGGCTGATGAGGCTGAGGCTGAGGCTGAGGCTGAGGCAGGCTGAGGCTGAGAGGCTGAGGCTGAGGCTGAGGCTGAGGCAGGCTGAGGCTGAGGCTGATGCAGGCTGAGGCTGAGGCTGAGGCAGGCTGAGGCTGAGGCTGAGGCTGAAGGCCGAGGCAGGCTGAGGCTGAGGCTGAGGCAAGCCGAGGCAGGCTGAGGCTGAGACTGAAGCTGAAGCAGGCTGAGGCTGAGGCTGAGGCTGTGGCTGAGGCAAGCTGCGGCTGAGGCAGGCCGAGGCTGCGGCTGATGCAGGCTGAGGCTGAGGCAGGCTGAGGCTGAGGCTGAGGCAGGCTGAGGCTGAGGCTGAGGCCGAGGCAGGCTGAGGCTGAGGCCGAGGCAAGCCGAGGCAGGCTGAGGCTGAGGCTGAGGCTGATGCTGAGGCACGCCGAGGCAGGCTGAGGCTGAGGCTGAGGCAGGCTGAGGCTGAGGCAGGCTGAGGCTGAGGTCGAGGCAGGCGGATCCTTCGGAATCCTTAGAATTCCCTGGAATCCTTAGGAATCCCTAGGAATCCCGAGGAATCAGGTTTCCTAAGGATTCCTATGGATTCCTAAGGCTGCCTAAGGATGCCTTAGGAATCCCTAGGAATCCTTAGGATTCCATCGGATCCTAAGGCCGTTGCCACTGCGACTGTCATTGCGAATGCGACTGCGATTGCGAGAACAACCGAATTCTACAACTGGACTCTCACCTGAATCTTAAGGGGAATGCTTCCAGACATGCTTATACACATCGCTGTTAGGTTGCTTTGCCGGGATAATTTTTCGTCGAAGATCCCCCTGTAGGGGGACAGGCCCGACATAGACCTGGCGGGCAGACGAGCCCGCAGCAATGGGCGGCGGCGCCCGGCGGCGCCGGGCCAGGCCGCGCGCGCGCGCCGGGGCGCCGCGCGGAACGCCTGGGGCGCGGGTCCTAACTCGTTAGATGCTCCTTCTGGGGACCTTCCTGGAGCCACTCGCTCCACTCGTGCGTCGGAGCTGCATCGAAGCTGCATCGAACCTGAGTCGAACCTGTGTCGAACCTGTGTCGAACCTGAGTCGAATCTGCGAATCTGAGTCGAATCTGAGTCGAACCTGAGTGGAACAGATCCGCTGTGTTATGTCGGGCGTGTCCCCCTACAGGGGAATTTTCGACGGAAAATAAAAAAATACCCCCAACATGCTCCAAAAAGGTCAAAAATACTCACACAATAATCTCCTGACTATTATTTGACTATTTGGGGGGTATTTCTAGTTTTGTGGTCTTTTTTATTTATCGTCGAAAATCCCCCTGTAGGGGGACAGGCCCGACTTAAGCCCAATGGCGCAAGGAACCCCAGAGCTTCGCGCGGCGCGCGCGCGCGGCGCCCCCACCCGCCGCAACAGGACGCGCCGAGCGCGGCAGCGCAGCGAGCGATCCGCCAGGACTGCCGTCATCGATCGGCGATTTTGTTCGGCCGAGGCCGCGGCGTCGCGCTCGCACGCGCGCGACTCCAGATGCGCCAAGACGAGCGAGGGACCTGCGACGCGGGGCTGATCTCCTACAGGATCGGCACACGCGACGCCGCGGCGATCGCGGGCGCCTCCAACCTCCCGCGCGCAAGATCTCTGCAACCGCGCAAGATCTCCCGCGCGCACGGGCGCGCTTGCCCCCGTGGCATCGTGCCGCGAGGCCGCGCGCGCTCGCTGCTGCGTGCCCTCGCCTGGGATCACGCGCGCAGTACAGTCGGGGCGTTGACCTAGAGGCCCCTTTTTCTCATAAGGTAAACATCGATGTCACATGGAAAACCTCAGGAAGACCTGAGGCAAACTGTTAAACAATCAAGGGACACCGAGCCCCTCCCCAACGAAAAGGGTTCCTTCATCAGCGCCCCGCGCTTATAGCCTGTATTCTCCCCATCCAGAAACGCCAGCGCGCCAGATTGTCGCCGCAATGTGCAGAACGCGAGCGCCAGGCGAAGCCGGGGAAAGCAGCTCGCCCCGCTAGCGCGTGGCCACAGCAGCGGACCACGTGCACGCGGCGCGTGGTCGGCGACTGTTCGCGCCAACATCCGCGCGCCAAAGCCCACATCGGCGTTGGTTCCTTTTCTCGCGCAGCCTGAAGCGCAGCAGCTCGTCTCGAGCAAACCGCCCGGACTGCTGGGGCGGCGCCGGCCCCAGCTCCGGCGCGCGCCGGAGACGGGCCCAGCGCCGCAGCGCAGCAGAAATGCGCGCCCCCCCCCCTTGCGCCCGCCCGAAGTCGCGATCAGCTCCTCCAGCAAGCGCAATCCGATGGAAACCGTCGCAGCTGGGCGCGGGGATCACAGGGCAGTCCAGCGCGGGCGCGTCAACGCTCGCCAGGAGATGATCGAGGCGCACGCGTGGCGCGCAGTTCCAGTGTGCCCCTGGGCTTTCCGCCGAGGGCGGCATCGCCCTTTCGATCGACGCGCCAAGGGCCGCTCGGGCGAACGCGAACCGACAACGACAGCCCGACGTGTCACCCGCGCAGGTGCTCGGACACTTGCGCGGCACTGCCGCTGCCCACGCCGCGCAGACCCACTCGGACCGCTCGGCGCTGGTCTCCGGGTCGCTTGCAGTGCCCCGACCGCGGCGCGCGCGAGCCGGCCTCCTGCACGTGCCGCGCCGCAAGGGCATGGCTTTGCGCGCGGGCGAAGGGCTGGTCAGCGTGACCCGAAGCAAGAGCAGCGCCAACGCCGCGCGCGCGCGAGGCCAGGGGCCGACACCGCGCTTCACGACGCGCCACTAACGCCGCCTGCCCGCAGCGAGAGGACGGAGGCACGCGAGGGCCGCGCTGCTGTGCGCTCGAATTCCGCGGCCCGTCTCGGCCCCGGCTGCTGTTGGCGAGCGCGACGAGCAAGGCAACTTGGTCCCTCTTGTCGGCCCTGGACGCATTCTGCAGGCACTCGAGATCAGCGGTCGCCGTGCCGCGCAGTTCCCGCGCGCTGGCGTGTTCGTTCCAGATCCGCAGGCCGAACGAATGGCGGCCATGGCGCCTCAGGGTCTACACTTAGGTCGGGCGTGTCCCTCTACAGGGGGATGTTGGCCGAACCATACAAAATCACAAACAAGAACCTAATACTCAAAGATGGTCCACAAATCGTCCCCGTACTATTTTTTGAATATATTTGAACATTCCCCCTGTAAAGGGACATGCCCGACTCAAGTATTCCCCCTGTAAAGGAGCATGCCCGACGCAAGTATACACATCGCAGGCCATCCAATGTAATCTGCACTGCGCCCACGGGCGGGCAGCGGCGCCCCCGCGCTGGAAATCTCCTGGGCCGTCTGCGAGCGACCTCGAGGGCGTCTGGGGCCGCTTCGGACTGCACCGGCACTGGACACGTTGCGCCCGTGAACATCGCTGGAAGCGGTTGTAAAATCGAGGGACACCTGCACCCGCAGGTGCCGTTTCGGATGTAACATCGGGGCCGTGTCGGACTGCACCGGAACTGGACACGTGCACCCGTGAAAATCGATGAAAACGGTTGAAAATCGATGGAACCGATGGACACCTGCACCCGTGAAAATCGATGAAAACGGTTGTGAAAAAGCGCGGAGCTCGGTCCAGGAGGCCTCCCGGGCAAGTTTTCGGCGGCTTCTCGGAACGTTTTTTTTGGGTTTCGCGGGAGGCGCCGATCGCGCACCGCTCCAACGTGACGCGCGCTGCCGCGCGTGCAAGAGATTTACACATCCCTTTCTTTGTCAACAGATCAATGACAAGTCTTCGCCATGCGATTCTCTGTTGCCAGATCGATGCCCGTCCTTTGTTACCACAACTAGTATTCTCCGAGGTTGTGATGCTGATGATTGAAACCTTAAGTAACTCATCGAACATGAATGGAACATGACCACAAAAGAGCTCGAACTTTTTCGCGGAAGGTACGGAGGGTGCAGCCGCAGGGGTAGGCATCCCGCGCAACCACGGCTGTGGCACTGAGCTGCATCTTCGTGCCGGTCGCCTGCGCCCTGGACACTACTTGCGCTCGAACATCGAAAGGTGGTTCTCCCCGACAGGGCGTGCCGAACAACCCCACGCATGGCTGTACAACAACGTGCAAGTTCTGGCTGTCCCAGGGGAAGGAGCCGTGAATGACACACTGGCAACGGAGGCAAAGCACGTCAGTTGTGAAGAAGCCATGGTCAAGCTTGACTATCTGAGGTGTCAAATCTCGTTGCCTGCTGGGACCGAGTCAGACTTACATGCAAGTAAGAACTTAACAGCAAAGAACCTCAATGGACTCCTTTTGATGCAATGTCCTGGACCGAGAGCTTGCCACAATATTCATTCCAGAAGAGCGATAGACTTCCCACGCTGCAGTGGTTACGATGTTGCTCGCTCCCTCCCCATCCTCCTCCACCGGCGGCTACTTGGAACGTCTTGGAGGCATCATGGGCTGTCTGGAGGCTGTCTTGGGCGTCTTGTGTAGCTATTTTGGTGAGCGGGGGCCGCTCTGGGCCCTTCCGGGACGGCTCCCTGAAGAGCAGGGCGCCCATGGTGACGCGGGGCAGCTGGCAGGGCCCCCCCTACCCCAGCAACCCGATGTATGTATATATATACACACATACATGCATACATGCATGCATACATCGAGGCATACATACATGCGTGCATAAACATGTATGTTTGCACTACTACATACGTACAAACATACATACATGCGTGCATGCATGCATACATACACGCACATACATACATACAGACAGACAGACAGACAGACAGCCAGACAGACAGACACACAGACAGACAGACATACATGCGTACATACATATAGACACACGCATGCATACATGAGTACATGCAGACATACAAACATACATGAGTACATACATACATGGGGGGTCTAGTTTCGTCTGTGGATATGTATATTGGTTGTTCAAGCCAGTTCTGACGCCTGCATTGTTTCATCTACAGACTTAAATCGCATGAGCCTACGTGCACACGTTATTTATGCATGGTTGTAAATATGTAGCTATGTGTGCGTATGTGTGAACGGGTTTTTTATTGGGTGTAAATCAATCATGATACGTAATCCAACAATAATTCAAACATTTGAGCGTTTTCATCTTTGGGCTTTCTTCAGCTCCTGCCTGCCCCAGGAGGCCTACAAAATGGCTCCAACACAGTCCACAAAAATCCCACGTGGCCAAATGATCCTGCAAGAAGGGCTCAATGCAGTCCAACAGGGCCCCAAGACAGCGCAACAAAGCCACACGAGAGCACCAAGCTGGCCCAAGAGAGGATCGTAGAGAGCCCCCCGACGGTCCAAAACAGACCGGAGACTGCCGCAACAGATCCCCCTGACGCAACACGGCCAAAGAGAGCCCAAAGACGGCCCATCCGGGCCCCAAGACGGCCAAATGTGGCTCAAGGTTCCTCCAAGACTGCCCCACAGGAGCCCGAGAAATGGCGGAAGAAAGGAAGGGCACCGACGAAAACGAGAGGAGAACCCCCGTGACGACTTGTCACATGTTAGAGCTTGCCCAAGCCTGCAGACAGGACTGGCACGGCGGTGGGACGTGCCGCAGGCAGCTGGAGGAGGAGGAGAAGATCGAGGAAGAGTGCGAGGCAGAATGGGGAAGAGCGAGAGGATGGCGTGGGACGGGCGTGGGAGGAGGAATCTCTTCCCGACTAAATGTCAGCAAAACCCGGTGGCGCAACTGCTATGCCTTGCAGGTTGTGGCAGGGCACCGGATCGAACAATAGAGCCGAGGATGCGATGACCACGAAGCGTATGGCCAGAACAAACCCGCCGACCCCCGCTTGCCAGGGCTGCAAATGGTTCGCGACCTCTATTTTTATGTCGGGCATGTCCCCCACAGGCGGATTTTGGACGAAAAACTAAGAAGAGTCAAAAAGTATTCAAACATAGTCAAAAATTATAGAAATATTGTCCCCAGACAATTTGTTACTAGTTGGGGATGTTCCTCATGTAGGCGGAATTTGGACGAAAACGAAAAAACATAACTAATGCTGAACCATAATAAAAATTGGTAAAACATAGTTACCATATAATGTCAGGACTACTTTGGAATATTCCTCCTGAAGAGGGACAGACCCGACTTAACCCTACGCCCCACAGTGCCTACAAGTTCTGGCCTCAAGCTATTATCGGGGAGATGTAAGACTCGGGTACGGGGGACTCGGGTTGGTTTGATGGGGCCACCACAAAAATGACGTGACCAACCTGAAATCTGACGCGAACTCCCGCTGCAAACATCCCACGAAAACTGGACCGTCAGAATCCAGGACGTGCTCGTCAGAAAACGTCGGCAAACCCGAGTCCCGGGTTACTCTTAAGTCAGGCATGTCCCCCTACCGAGGGATAATTGACGAAAAAAGCAATACCCCAAAATATTCCAAACTGTTCAACAAATGCTCAAAAAATAGTCCCGAGGCTATCTTTTGACTATCTTTGAATATTCCTCCTGAAGAGGGACAGGCCCGCCTTAAGCTTACTCGAGTCTTACCTTTCCCCGACCGTCGGGGCTCAAGAGACGGGGGTCAATGCAAACGGGGGTCAGCCACGGCAACGGATCTTGCAGCCGCTCATGGCCGCGAGGCGGCCGCGCATACTGGCTGACCCGGGTTTGCGAAAACCTGCGTTGCAATGTGTTTCTCCTGCATTGCAATTTTCTGGTTTCCTGCTGACCCGGGTCTGGATTGACCCGGGTCAGAAGATCCCCGAGACCGAACCCGGGGACTCCTGCTGGGCTCGGGTCGGGCGAAAGGGGGGGATAGCAAAGGGGGGGTTTGAGAATCAGCTCACGTAGCTGATTTTCCCGGCGCCTCCCGGCGCCGGAGGCGACTATGTATCAAGGAATGGGCCCCTCGGTGGGGCCGAAACCAGCTGCATGCAGCAAATTTTGTACCCCCCCCTTTCCCCATCCCCCTCCATTTCGTCCGGCCCGACGGGCCTCCGAGACGCGCCCCGAGCCGCCGCGAGACGGGCCGCGCCCTCGCCGCAGACGCGCGCCCTCCTCCGGCGCGGGCGGCGGACCGTGCGCGGCAGCGCCACCGGCTGTTAACTCCGACAGCCGCCTTGCACCCTGCGTCCACCATCGGTGGCCAAGTGTTTGAGCAGGGGCCGACCGTCCCCGGCATTCCCAGCTAGGCCTACCACGGCGTGTTCTCAGAGCCCCAAAGTGGTCTCAGAACAGAAGCCATGTTCTTAGAGTTTAAAGCCCGATGGTGTTACAAGAAGGCAGTCCCAGCCAGAAGTGTTCCAAGAACCATCCGCGGAAACCACAAGAGGTCTGTAGGTACGCCAGGACGCTTCGCCACTGCTTGAAATGTATGAGACAGGTTTGCAGCTTCCACCCCGATGCTTCAAAAGTGCTGAGACTACCCCGAGGCCTGTCGCTTCGGGGTTCTGACATAAGCGCCGGGGCAGAACGAGGGTGGCCCTTTAGGCAGACGGATCGGTGGCAACTCATGGGAGCCTCCCATACCATCCTGTTGGCTCATGCGAACCGACGCTAATCGGTGCTAGTCGACGCTAAGCAGCGCTATACCGACGCGAGTCGACGCTAATCGGGGCTGAATCGGCACGATCTCATCCATTACCAAGCGCTCGTCGGCGCTAGAAGCGGCATTTAGTGGGCACACGTGGCTCCCAAGGTTTGCGACCGAAAGACGGGACGCCTGAATTCACGCGATGCTGGTGAGACTTCGGGAGCGGCGCGCCACCATGCGTGCAGAGCGCAGGCGGGGCGGCGAGGCTGCCCGCCCAACAAGGAACACCGCCAAATGCCCTGCGGCACTCGGGGGTCGACGGCACGAAAGCCTCGGCGGCTGGGCCGAGGGGACTGCCCCTGGCGACTCCCCCACCCCAGTAGGCTCAGGGCGGGCCTGTCCCCCTACAGGGGATGTTGGACGAAACATAAACCAGATACAACAAATGCTCAGAAAATATGCCAAATAATACTCAAAAAATAGTCCCCAGACTATTGTTTGACTATTTTTGAAGATTCCCCCTGTAGAGGGACAGGCCCGACTTAACAGTAGGCCACCACGCGTGAGCCCAGACTACCCCTGCAGGTGAGACCTCTGAAGAACTGGCAGGGGTTGAGAATTCGAAGGGTGTCTGTAGTCAGGTGCCACCCCGGCGGGGATGTCCGACGACCCAGCGTCGGGCGTCGAGTGGACCTGCAGGGGTGGGATTCGCAAGCGGTCACAGACCCAGGCCGACCCTGACCCCCCAGCGGTACCCGTCGGTCGGAAGAAGTAGGCAGAAGCATGGAGTAGGAAGGCGTTGGTAGTAGGTTGGATCTCCGCCCGCCACCTGAAGAGGAGGGAAGAAGGAAACCACTCGAGCAATGAAGTAGAAAGGCACTTAAAGTAGATTGGAATCCAGAAATACAGGAGAGCCCAGAATCGAATCGACAAAACGGATCAGCGATCGAAATAAGTCGGATCGGCGGACATCGGCAGGCTAGTAGGCCTCCATTGAGGAATCGGACTCCAAATCGGAATTCGTTATCGAATCGAACCGGAATCGGAGGCCATCGAAATCGAATCGAATCGAATCGGAGGCCGTCGAAATGAGCCCTGGAAATACCTACTTTCAACGACCGGCGTGTGCAGTGGGGGCCCTTCCGCAAGAAAAACCCTCCACGAGCAGCTCCACCCGGACTACCCCATGGGCGTCCCTTGATTTCCTGGTGTGGGAGCGTCGCGCTCTCCATCTCAGGAGCGGCCAAGAGGGGGGGTGTCCAAGAGGGGGGGGTGCAAATCATGACTGTCGGCATGTGCGCGGCCCAGCGGGGGGGCCAGGGACGTAATGAAATAAGAAGGGGCGCCATGAAATCTTGGGGAATATCATGGCCCACGCCATGATATCCACTCACCCCTAGTCATCCCCCCCTCTTAACCCAAGAAACCCGGGGCACCCTGGAGGCAAGAAGGGTCAGGAGGAGGAGGAGGAGGGGGAGGGGGAGGAGAAGGAGGAGGAGGGGGAGGAGGAGGAGGAGGAGGAGGAGGAGGAGGAGGAGGAGGAGGAGGAGGAGGAGTCTCTCTGGAGTCTCTGCCTGATCGCGTAGCGATGTGGTGAATTTAAATGCCCGCCACCCTCTGTAGGGAATTGTTGACTCTGGTGGTCGTCTGAGCTCGACTGAGGACCTTCGGCCAGAGTCCTTCGGAAATCCGCTTAAGGTATTTCTTCCCCGTGCTAGTGGGTTGCTCGCAGAGGTCCCCGAGTTTCCCGAGGAGCTTCTGGGCGCATGCTCCGCAGTGGGAACAGAACCACAGTTGCAGCCCAGCGTGGAACATCAGAGTGTGACTCGAGTGAACGAACCCCCCCGCGATATGAACCTGCATACCCATGGGGGCCTCCTTGTGAGTGCCATTGATATTGATGAGTTCGAAACAGCTAGTCTGTAACCAGGAGGTCCGAGTGGCCTTGCTGGAGCTGCTGAGACACCTACAACACTTGGAGCCTGTGGAGGAGGAGGAGGAGGAGGAGGAGAAGGAGGAGGAGGGGAGAGGAGGAGGGAGGAGGAGGAGGAGAGGAGGAGGTCTTTCTTGGCATGAGCCCCCGCTGCACTCGGCACTGGACGCCGCGCGCAGAGCATCCCCGCTCTCCGAGGGTCGGGGTTGGCCTGGGCGGGGGGGGGGGGCGGGGGTCAGGGGCGGGCTGCCTCGCCCCAGCCGTTGCGCCTCTCTCCTCCCTCCTCCTCCTCCTCCTCCTCCTCCTCCTCCTCCTCCTCCTCCTCATCCTCCTCCTCCTGCTCTGATGGCAGCATCCGGTGCACCCCGCGTATAAGCAGCGGCAGCTGTCTCCTGCCACAGAGGGCGAGGAAAGGGAACACGACGGAGGACCCTAAGAGTGCCCCAGCAGCCGGAGTCCCAGCAGGCAGGAGCGCCGTGGCTCCGACTGGGCTTGCTCCAACCGGGCCGGGCGCCGCCCGAGAGGAGGGCAAATCCAGCTGGCTTCTCGGAAGCTCTCCGTCCCTCGGAGGAGCGGGAGCTGCCTCCGGGAAAAACTGCTCGTGAGACCGTGGAGGCCTCCCCCCGGGGGCTCGCTGTCGAGAGAGGCAGGATGATTAACCAGCAAAGGACCCCAATGCTTTGGAAGGGGACCTAAGTTAGGGGGGGCCAGAACATTAGGGACAGAGGCGATGTTGCAGATGCCTCGAATCCAACCCCCCAAATATTATCTCTAATGCGAAGACGGGGACCTCAGTGAGGCCACGACTTTCATGTGCTGTTAGGGTTAGGGGTCCTTGTAGCCTCGATGACATGAGAGCCCACAGTCGAATAGCTAAGCCGGAGCGAGGATCGAAGCGACTCTGATCGGCGGATCTTGGCAGCAGAGTCGGGATAAGCACAATCGGCAGAAATCTCGGCAAGCAAAAAAAAACCTCCGATGAGACACCGAAAACCAAGTCGGAATCCAGGACGTGGCGCCGAGCCTGCGTCGGAATCGATCGACATCGAACCGAGACGAGTCGGATCAGCCCATCGGTCGACAGCCCTGCGCGGAAGCAGGGAAAAGGAAGGCGTGTATGGCTCGGGCTTCCGCCCGCCCCCCGGAACGGGTAGGGAAAGGGGGTCGCACGAGGCGTCGAGCAGGGCGGCGCCCACAGTAGATTGGGACTTGGGCATACAACAAGAAAAACCTACTTTTGACGGCCAGCGGATGATCTCGGCGGCGAGCGACAGGGGGAAGTGAGGAGGAGGAGGAGGCCTTCTCAGAGGGCTCGGCAGTCCACCATAGGCCGTTCGAGACAATCTCCAGGCCTTCCCCGAAGAAAGACAGCACAAACAAACTTCTCAGAAGCCGCGAGGACTTCTGCGAAGCCCCGCCGCCTTTTGAGAAGGCCTTCTTTTCATTCACCCCCCCCTCGCTCGCCGCCGCTAATCTTAGGTCGGGCATGTCCCCCTACAGGTGGACTTTCGACGAAAAATCAGAAATAGCCAAACCATGCTCAAAACACTTCAAACACAATAGTATCGAAACATCGTCCCCAGACTATGTTTTAACTATTCTCGAATATTCCTCCTGTAGAGGGACATGCCCGACTTAACTAAAAAAAAAACAACAACATAAACATGAACATTTGGCGCTCTGCGCGGATTCCGTGGATCCGGGCTGGGCCCCCCTGGCGGCGCCTTCGGCGCCGCCCCTGGCGCACTCCGCGCGTCAGGGAGGAAGAGGTCCAGCGCAGATCCAAGAAATCCGCGCGGAACGCCCAAATTTTATGTCTATGCTGGTTGTTCTTCGATTTTCACTCTAATCGAGCCAAGCCCCGGAGAGCGGGCCTCGAGCCTGGGGGAGGGCGACCAGCCTGGCATTTGGACGCTCGAAACGGGTACGGAACAAATTGGCACAATGCCCAACAACAAATGCTGTCACAAACCGGCAATGGCCGCGCTGTTGGGCAGGCGGCCTCCTGTCCCAAGTGTGCACATCCCGCGGCGACGACGACAGCGAATCCAGTTCGAAATGAACAAGAACTGCTGTCGGTTTTTGATCCCTGATGGGCCTGTTTTCCACCACCACCACAAGTTGGATGGGAGAGGGGGTCCTCTTCCTCCTCCTCCTCCTCCACCTCCTCCTCCTCTTCCCCTTCCAACTTACGGTGGTGGTGGTGGTGGAAAACAGGCCCATCATACCCCTTCTTGCCGTACCCATCTCGATCGCCCCGATGGCACCGCCCGGCCCTCCGCGGCGGCCAACCGCCGCCGGCCGAAGCCCGCCACCAGCACGCGCAACCCCCGCCGGGGGGGGGGGGGGCGGCGGCGGAGGAGGACGAGGACGAGGCGAGGCAAGCGGGCCCGAGGCGTGTGCGCCCCGCCGCGGAGCAACGAAGGAGGAGGAGGAGGAGGAGGAGGAGGAGGAGGAGAACGAGGAGGTGGAGGAGGAGGGGGGGGGAGGAGAAGGAGGAGGAGGAGGAGAGGAGGAGAGGAGGAGGAGGAGGAGGGTAAGGTGGAGGAGGAGGAAGAGGAGGAGGAGGAGGAAAAGGACGAGGAGGAGGGGGAGAAACGAGGAGGAAGAAGGAGGAGGAGGAGGAGAAAGAGAAGGGGAGGCGGAAGGGGGGGGAGGAGGAGGCGGAGGGGGTTGGAGAGGAGGGGGTTGGAGAGCAGGGAAAGGAGGAGCAAGGGCGGAGGGGGGGGGGGGAGGGGGGGAGGGGGAGGGGGTGGGGGGAGGGGAGGGGAGGAGGAGGAGGAGGAGGAGGAGGAGGAGGAGGAGGAGGAGGGAGGAGGAGGAGGAGGAGGAAGGAGGGGATGAGGAGGAGAAGGAGGAGAAGGAGGATTTGTTAACATCGACACAAAGCTACCCCCCCGCATGCTCACAGGTGGTGGGGTGAGGCCGCCTGTAGCGTGAGTGCACCTGCCGCGAAGCCCACCACAAGCATGAACCCGAAGAACACCTCAACGAACAAGAGCACGCACGGCATCCCCAGAGGGTCCAAAGATCAGCGCCACAGATCTTATTGGAAACGCTAGTGTTCGGTTGTATTACCTTGCGTTACAGATCGGGAGCTTCATCTTGTTGATCAAGACAGATCTTGCGCTTTATGGTTCGATGATTTTGCTAGAAAAAATATAACTCATACATAAAACTTGGTACATGCATTATATTTCGCGCTCTAGGTATTTTGCACGGAAGCAGCAAGCGTAACATGCAGCCTGGGCGCCCCGCAGCGGGACCAGCGGAATTAAATTCAGGGGGGAAGCAATTTCACAGCCTATGGTGGCCCAAAACTGGGGCGGGCGGATTTGATTTAGGGCGGACGGTTCGCCGACAAAACCCTTACTATCGCCCTGGGGCATGGTTGCAGCGCGACCTGCTGGCGCCGCGCGGTTGCGCACCGCAGGTGGCGCGTGAGACACCCTTTGATTGTGAAATTGCTCCTTTCTCCCCCTCCCCCCCGTCTTGAAGCGCATGCAGGTCTTCCTGATTGTTAAATCGCCCAACGCTGTTCTGCAACTCCTCCTCCTCCTCCTCCTCCTCCTCCTCCTCCTCCTCCTCCTCCTCCTCCTCCTCCCCCCCTTCCTTCTCCTCCTTCTCGTCGTTCTCCTCCTTCTCCTCCTTCTCCTCCTCCTCCTCCTCCGCACTGCCCCCCTCCTCTGGCGTTTGCGATTCGAAGCCATTTTGGCGCGAGGGATTCGCTGGGCCTGCTCAGCCGCAGGCAGTGCGACCCCCACCTCTGGAGGATGGCCTCCTCTGTGAGTGGAAGCTCAACGCAGCCAGAGCCAGATGCACCGTTGCTGGCGGCGGCGGGGGGCACGTTGGAGGATTCAGTGGCCGACGCCCCAGCCCCGGCCCCAGCGAACAAGAAGCCGAGATTTGTACACCCCCGCTGGGCGCGAGCAGCCATGGAGGCCGCCGCCACGCAGGCCCAGGTGCCCACCAGCAGCCAGGCGGCGGTCGCTCCGAACAGCCAGGCCACGATCAACGAGGAGGCGATCGCCCCGAGCAGCCAGGCGGCGGTCGCTCCGAGCAGCCAGGCGGAGATCGCTCCGAGCAGCCAGGCCCCGAGCAACGAGGAGGCGATCGCCCCGAGCAGCCAGGCGGAGATCGCTCCGAGCAGCCAGGCGGCGATCGCCCCGAGCAGCCAGGCAGAGATCGCCCCGAGCAGCCAGGTGGAGATGGTGACTGACAGCCTCGCATCGGTCGCGAGCAGCGTGGCTGAGTGCGCGCACGAGGGCGACGTCGGCATCGCAGGTGCTGCTGATAGCATTCAGCCCGCGGCCGCCTCAGCGGGCAGCGAGCCCGCCATCGAGCGGCCCCTGACGAATGTCAAGGTCGAAGGGCATGTCTGGCCATCGTTCGGCCCGCAACAAGGCCGCGGCGCCATCGACCTGGACACGGAGAGTGACGTGGGTGCCCCCGACGAGTCGCTCCCGACAGGCAGAGCCCGATTTCTTCGAACCGAGAGCGCCGCGCCTCCCCGTATTTGCCCACGCTGTCGTGGGAAGAGATGTATGGGATTCGAAGGGCCGAATGGGCGGTCCGATCTTCCGACGATTGAGGCGCTCGTGAATGCTGCGATACAGAACAACACAACCACCGCGAACGAGCCGCTGAATAATGCGCTCAAAGGAGAGGTCCTAGGCCCGTGAGGAGAGAGAAGGGCAGCGCAAGGCCTCGGAGCTCCCGCTCGAGAGGAAGAGGCCGGGCGGATACTCCGCCTGGCGCAATTTGCCATCAACCCCGAGACAGAAAGCCATCAGTTCCGACAGGATCGTACCCGTTCGGCGCTCCAGCAGTTCTCGCTCGAGGCAGCTCGGGCAGCTCGGGCGAGGACAGCCGCCTTTCGTTTTCGTCGTTCTCGGCACGTCGGTGCTGTCTTGAGCCGATTCTCTTCCATCCATCTCCTCCTCCTCCTGATCCATCTCCAGGTTCTCATCCACCTCCCCGCCCTTAAGGCCCTTATCCTCGAGCATATCCTTATCCTCGAGCAGCTCTGCCACCCCCACCCCCCACCCCCCACCCCCACCACCCCCGGGAATTATCTCGCTCCCACCCCCATCCCCCCCCCCCGATACATCTCCAAGAGGATATCGAACACTCCGAAACGTTCCATCGAAAAGATGTCCTGGTGATCTTTTCTAGTCCGTGCGCCCCCTCCCTGATCTCTGATTTCCCCCTCCGGCCCGAAGGACACGCTCCAGACGCCTCCGAAGGTGCGCAAGTCCGTCAAGGAAGCCGAGAAGTTATTCAAATGCTTGGAGGCGACCCGCGGCCAGCCTCCTTCCTCCCCCTATTCCTCCTCCTCCTCCTCCTCCTCCTCCTCCTCCTCCCCCTCCTCATCCTTCTCCTCCTCCTTCTCCTCATCCTTCTCCTCCTCCTCCTCCTCCTCCTCCTCCTCCCCCCTCCTCCTCCTCCTCATCCTCCTCGTCCTCATTATCTGTCTAGTCGGGATCTGGCGGCCACGAGGGGGAAGAGGCATGAGGAGCGGCAGGGGGATTCTCCTCACTTCTTCCTCTGCCCACCCTCCACCATGCATCCTCCTTTAAGGTGTGCTCTCCATCGCTCTCCTACCCCGTGGTATCATCAACTCCTCACCCCTCCTGAGCTCGAGGTCCCAACTCGTCCCCCCACGTCCTCCTCCGCCCTCCTCCGTGATCCCCCATCCCTCCTACTCTTCGCCTTCTTGCTCCCACTCCTCGACCCCCCGCCCGCCCCATTTCTGCAATTCTTGCAAGCTCGCACTTCCGTGCGTAACCATTCGTCTCAAGACTCTTGGGATCGGACCTGCCGCGGGGAGGCAGGCTCGCGATGGCCGCTTGCGAGCGGCGGGTTTTAGTTCGAGAGCTGACGCGATGCTGGGCGTACCACATCAAGTTGGCCGATGAGCTTGATTATTGCGGCGACGAGGAGGTCATGACCGCGAAGGTCAAGAAGTCCTTCCTCGTTCGGTACAGGGACCTCCTGACGGAGACGCGGCAGATCGCGAAGTCTGTGGATAAGACTGTCGCTCAGGAGGCCCTCGTCGGAGTGGCGACGCGCAACGAAGCTGCGTGGCACCTGGCTGCAGGGAAAAAGCAGTGGTCGATCTTCACTGCGCGGCAGCTCAGGGCGATGTTGAGGCACGTGTCCCAGGCTGTCATCAAGACTCCCAGGGATGAAAATTTAGTTACCTCATAAGAAGATAGGCCCTTGTGGGCCGCCAGGTGTCACGCATCTTTGCTTCGCAAATCGCCAGGAGAGTTGCTTGGGCCAGTCCTTTCGCGAGCGACGAGGGCGAGCCAGACATGGTCGACGAGGGCGCAGGTGATGAGGGGACTGGCGAGCGCCCCGAGCCTGTCGCGCTCAAGAGGCCCGCGGCCGCGCCCGCCAGCGCGGAGATGGCGGCTCTAGCAGGCTCATCTGGCAAGCGGCGCCGCGGCAGCGCCATGCAGCTCAAGGTCATCGAGGTTCGGGACGGGTGGAACTTCGGGTGGACTCCAACGATGATGGCACTGCGTCCTAATACCCACTCCTTTTCAGCAGTTATGAGGCTTGCGTCGGCGATCTGGTTTCCAGGGGATTGGTGGCGCGTCTCTTTCAGATCGACTGGGATGAAACTCCAACGCAAAATCCAATGCATTGTAAAATGCGTTGGAATTTCGTCTCAGTCGATCTTGAGGCGACGCCGCGCTAGCCCCAAGGATCACAGTTCGCCAACGCCCGAGCTTTGATGGAGTTTACCCGCAGTTCGCCCTGTCCAGGCAGCCTGGAGATGCCGCGTGGACGCCGGCGCCCAGATTCCCGAGCACGCCAGGGGGGAGAAGGTGGATGGCAAGGAGACGCTGGTGGCGACTTGGCCCGACGGAGTACCATGGGAAGTTCCAGGGACCTCTCCCGCTGATGTCGGCGACGAGATAAAGAAAAAAAAAGAAATAAAAAGAAAAAAGGAAGATAAAACATAACAAGAAAAAAACATCAAGTAAAAACGAGAAGCCAGGCAACGGCCTCTGGGAGGGGCTCAACGACAACAAGGTGGTGAGGGTCGCGATGGTGAACCACAAGTCGAAGGGCTCGTGGATCCAGACGAGGGAGGGGTCCAGGCAGCTCATGCAATTGTGTGGGTACGACAAGAAAGATCTGGAGTCCGCGCAGAAGTTGATGATCGACCTTGCGACGCGCTACTGCGCCAAGGAGCTCGACAAGCCGAGAATGGAGGTTCTCAAACTTGAGTGGGTCGCCCTGCACAACAACAAGAACACAAAGAAAGACAAGGGCAAGGTGAAGGACCCGGTGGAGGAGTCTGATGGTGAGCCGTTGCTGAAGCCGAAGGCCAAAGCCAAAGGCAAGGCCAACGCCAAGGGCAAGGCCAAAGCAGCGGCGAAGGACAACGCCAAGGTTGAGGACGACGGCAGCGATGGCAGCGACCACATGTATGGCAGCGAGGCGGCCAGCGAC